CACACTTGTCGGAAAACATAAACACACCACGAGCGGCTACGCGCACATAGAACCTGCACTGTCATTAATTTCAGAGATGGAGGGAGGTCAGCGTACCAGACGGTGTTTGTGTGTCTGTGTGCAAGCATGTGTGCAAGCTCGCATGGTATTGGATGTGTGTGTCATACGTATGTGAGCGTGCACGTCGAGTGGGGGGATGGAAACACACATGTGCACACACACATACACACACACACACACCGGTGTTGACAGGTGGCTGTGGTAAAGAGGTGGTCCCTGAGCTGGGGTCTGCCTGTCTCTGGCTGAGAGAGAGAGGAATAAAAAGCTCCCAGCAGCTGTCGCCCTAATTCCTCTAACACGGTGCTTGTGCTCTGATTAGAAAACAGATCTGGCCTCTAATTTACTCCTGACACCAACTAATGCTCTATATCTCAATTGCTCCGTCCCCGCTTGCCACTGGCCTGCCTGGCTGGACACACACACCTAGTGACTCAGAAAGCTAAAGTATAAGAGCGTACACCGGGACACAAAACAACCAGATGAGCGTGACTAGCAATCCACTGAGTCCTCATTGACATATGATGACTGCAATCCAGATGTGACATAGCATTGCTCTTCTCCTCAATCAGAAAAGCCAGGTCTGAGTAGTCAAGTGTGTTTCAGGACAGTCTGCACTGCCAAATATTTGCATGTAGAGCAATTTGCAACAGAAAGTGAAGATTCAAATGAAATTTACTAACTTGAATTTACAGAAAAAATTAGCTTTGAAATTAAGAGATGACTAAAAATGTTATATACGTGCAGTGGTTCCTCACCCTGTCGAAATAAAGCTATGTCTTCTTGGGCCCCTCATCAGAGGCTACACAAGTATGCAGGTTGAGAGCAGCTTGACCTTAAACTTATTTTATTATCAGGGTGGGGTTTTTTTTTTCTATTTTATTAATCTTAAAGGCCAGAAGATGAAAAATTATTGAGTGCCGCTTCCTCACATTTCAGCTTGACCTCTTGTTTTTAATTACAACTGCGACTAAAATATGGCACCAAACCCATACAACAGAAGGCAAAAACAGAGTGACGAGGTTGTCAGATTTATGTCCGAGCATGCCTGGAATCCAAAATATGTCAAAAGTATTTCATGTTGGGAAAACAGAAAATTACTGCTGGAGATGACCGTCTTTATTCAGTAGCCAAATGCACATTTTTCACCTGACGTTTAGCCTTTTTTATGGTTCCACAAGAGATAAATTATTGCTTAATAAAACATTTTTTTGGTGCTTTTGGTCTTTGCTTATTTTTGGTGAGATACAGAAGAGATTATAATATTTTAGTTCTTTTTTTAAGTGTCTTATTGTTTTTTCCTGTTTGATATTATCTTAAATCTTGTAAGGAGAACTTAAAGTTAATTGAAAAATAGACCTATTCATCTATTTTATGAAAAAGGGGTTTAAGACGAAGAGAAATAAAGAAGAAATAAAGAGCCTATATTTTTCGACTGTGGGGCTGCCTGCTTGACAGAATATAAAGTGATGTTCAGTGCAGCCTGTTTTTATGCCAACAACGGAGGACAGGCTGGCTGGGTGTCTGGGTGCCATGACGGGGTTGGCCCAGCAGGGGGCAGAGGTGTGATGCAGGGAGTAGGAGGTGACAGCTCAGTGTCACACTGCACACAGGGTGTCACCTCAGCAGGCTGGGAGAGAGAAAGAGAGAGATGAGACAAGGAAAGGGAGAAAGTGGACAGGGAGACAAAAAGGTGAGAGCTCTATCTCAATCTGTGTGTATGTTCTTGTTTAGCTATCTTAGTGAGGACCGCTTTGAGTTGCAGACCATTGGTGCGAGGACACTTTTGCATCTTCACATTTTTACACCACTTCAAAGATCTATTTGATTTTAGTGTCAAGGTTAAGGGTTAGTTCATGTTAAGGTTAAACACTTAGTCAGAGCGATTAAGTTTTGCTTTTTTTTAAAATATCTTTTTATAATCTTTAAAAGCCAGCTAAGTTTTTTTTTTCTGTTCTGGAGTATACCAGAACTTGGCGTTATGGTGACTTAATTGTATTCATACCTTATTACTGGTGTGTTTTATGTCGGCCAACAAATTATTAGTTCAGCAGACTCCGGGGTAACCTTAGCCACAAAGATGGATAATATATATAAAGCTTTCAAGCAAATCTAGATTAAAAAGAAACTAATGAAAAGGATTATAGTCTAGACCAGAACATGGATTATTATCTTTGTGGGTTTTTTTCTCAGACCATGCGTGTTTATGTAATTACACTCACTCCCAGAAGGAAGAGGCAAAGTTCACTTTTACATGTTTTTAACATGAGAATTTGTCATAAAACTGTGTTAAAAAGCCAAAAAAAACTTTAAAAAAAAAAAAAAAATCACACAGTGGCTTTTAGACTTTTAGTCTGAAGCCTCAACTTCCATCATCTTCTTGGGGTTCTTTTTAGGGTCATAAACACTGGTTGGTTAGTAAGCAAGGTGTATCATCTACATGTGAACATCTTAGAGAAAATAAAGCCAATTAAAATACTAGAATTTCACTCACTAATGTTTTAGTGAGTGGGATTCTAGTAATTCTAGTAATATTTTAAACTTTAAACTATATTATTGGTCAGATATCTGCATTAAAAATATTCCAAAAGAAAACACCTCCATCAACATGACACAGCCAGTGGCCTAGTGAGCGTGACGGTCATTGGGCCACACCCTAAATCATGTATAACTTTAAGCATTAAAATTATTAACAGTCAGTCAGTTATAAATGGTCACAAAGGGGCAAAATAGCTACAGGGACCATTATTTATTTATTTACTTTTTACCAGGTTGTAAATGTGTTTATTTCTGCTGTAAATGCAGGCATTATGGGGAGTGACTCGCTTTTAGAGCCGGCCTCAAGTGGCAATTTCATGAACTGCAGTTTTTGGCTCTTCATACTGTATTCCTAGAACGAAATGCCTAGTCAAAATTGAATTTAAATTTATTCGGTTCTTTTATTTTAATAAGGACAGAACTTCAGAGATAAAAGATAATGTAAAAGAATTTTTTTTTATATCAGGTCACTTTAAAAATGCTTTTCTTATTTAAAAAAAATCAAGCTTTGTAATAGGCTACCACAAGGTTAGGTTTCTTTGTGTAGGTGGCTCTGTATATGGTGTGTGTGCTGTGTGTGTGTTTTTATTTCCTCTTTCTTCTCTCTCTGTCCCTACTATCTGTCTCCAGAGACTCACTTGGCATCTCTCCCTACTTTTAATTCTTGCTCCACAAACTGCTGCTGTCTGCACACAAGCTGGCAGTACACACACACACACACACACACACACACACACACACTTACTTTCTTGGTTTAAGAATAACTCCCCAACCCACAAAAAAGAGAGATGCCCATGCAGCCATGTTTTAGATGCAACACACACATTTGTCTTTTACATCACTGTCATCTGAAATATTGGAGGGGGACTCACAAACACATACAAGGGGCATTAATCACACAGTACAAGTTGAATCCAAAGTGATAAACACAAATACACATCCAGTGATGAAAGACAGAGATGCTTACAGTCTCTCAGGAAATACACAGTCATTCCCAGATACTCACACCCTTCACCACTGACAGTAACACACACACACACACACAGGCGGCATCCTTGTTACTGAGAATACGAATCCAGTTTGAAAGAAAACACACACGATAAGCCCTTAAAACATCAACGCGAGTCGAGAAACTAAAAGGATATGAACATTCCAAACTTATTTGACTCTTATAATCCCTGTTTGCTGCTCCTTTACTTTTAAACTCGGCTTTATTAACACAGCTGTCAGCGATGCTCGCACAGCCGCTCACATGCATTCAAGTTCTCGAGCAAAACATACACTCACTGACAGGCAGACAACACAAACTTCAAAAGCAAGAAATTAATAAATTAAAGGAAAGCCTGATATGGATGAATAAATAACAAGAAGAGAGAGAAAGGGAAACAAAACAGGAAGGAAAGTAGAGTTTCTATAAGAGAGGAAGCAGAAAAGGAGTTGCGGTGATTTTGGAAGGAGGCTGGAGGTGCAGACAGAGAGAGGCAGATTCTGTCACACACTTCCAATTTTAACTGGCATGCAGCAATTCAGCCGCAAAGATAAAACACACACACTCCACAGATATATATACCCTACGTGTGCAACTGTGCGTGTGCTGCAGGTGGAAAGTGCCTGCAAGACACAGCGTGTGGCAGAGTGACTCGCTTGTCTTTTGAGTTTCCTACACTCCGAGTCCTTTTTTTAATTATTTGGAGAAGGGTGTGAGTGTGAACACAAATATGCAAATGAAACGGTTATTATTGCATTGCTCATCAAGCAGCGCGGAGCAGACATTAATAGGCTGATGAATATGCATGTGAATTTGTTAATTAAGTTAATTATTCTGCTGAAAATGCATTCGTCTTCCAAGGACATCTTCCCCAGGATTCCAACCTGCTCCACTCATTAGTCATGCGATATTTTACACTGGGCGCTGGGACAAGAGGTAGGGAAGGGAGGGGCAGTAGGGGCCACCGGGGTTGATATGTATACAATATCAGGGCATCGTGGGTTTCAAGTCCACTGAAGAACAGTACTAAAGGCTTCAGAAATAGATATAATGGCGACTAATCATTCAGCAGCTCTTCAGAACTGAAGGGTCAGTGAAAGAGACAAAAGCACTGCAGCCACAGCTACAGTGGGGCGTGCACGCTCCTACTGGCCAGACGTTCGCTCCATCTCTGCTTTTCTCTTTCCTCTCCAGTAATTCCCCCTGTTCGCTGCTTTTCCTCTAATTGCTTATTAAAACCCTCTTAAATGAACTTTTTGTGCCAACTTTCCAACACATTAATTAATTGTTGTAGCCAATTAAGTGTCGCTGCGCAAATGAGCTTCAGCACAAATGGTCCTGCAGGGCCCGTCCCCCCCAACTCCACACCCACCCCCCCTCCACCCCCACCCCTCGCACCCCCACCACCCTCCTCCTTTTCCTCTTCCACCATCCTCACCGACAGCTTTCCCAGCAGCCCCTCTGCCCTTAAAGAGGCAGGATCAACACAGACTCATAGAGAGAGACAATAATGTTGCCTAGCTCATGAAGCGCTTTGAATAGAATTGGTAATGAGATGGTGAGACCTTGGAAAAATACTTTTGCAAAAGTGCAGCGTCACGCAGAGAGGGTGAAGTGTCTTTGGCTAACGGGGAGTTCACTGCGATAAGGTCAGGGAAAGATTTTTAAAAGTCAGCATCATCCGCCTGTGAGGGTATTGATTATTGTTAGAGCAAATCATTTAGAATTTGGTCCAATTTTTCCAGATTATTTTCATTTTATGACCTGGCAGCAGTGACTTAATATAAAAGCATCACACATCTGTATCATCTGGCTGATCCAAAAAGCCCTCCTAAAAAAGCCCTCTTTGGTTGGCCTCACTGCTGTTCAACAATCAAAAAATAATGTGTGTGTGTGTGTGTGTGTGTGTGTGTGAGTGTGAGTGAGAGAGAGAGAGAGCGAGAGAGAGCACTTTTCTCACAAAACTATAAACTGAGAAGAAATGGAGATGGTGTTATGGCATCAATAAAGCATGCTGTTGCAGCAGTAAAGCATATATCACTGCTGGGATAAAGTCAATCAATTTTTGAAATATCACATAAATAAAGATGTAGCCATAAACGAAATGGCTGACATTAAATTCTGCTTGATAGAAGACAAAGAAGGATATGATGAAGACAGCACAATTTGCTCACGACCCGAAATGCTTTCAAAATTCAATGTGTTTTGTTTTGTTTTTTCCCCCCATTCGGCGACAATATGTTGGTGGGGAGTTAGGTTTACATTTCCAGTCAAGAAAACACTACTACTTATATGCAATTTCTGTCTTATATTAACTATTTTTTCCTTAATCCCACTTTGTGTAGTGTGTGCTTTAGATGAGCAACTGAGGGAGTCTGTGCCTCCTTTCACTGAGTTTACACATAGTCACTGATCAAACAGCCTCAGTCAGCAGACTCGACACCAAACTGTAGCACGGCTCAGAGATACGACAGCAACCCAGATTTACACTCCACAAACGAGATGCCACGCAGGCCCGCATTAATGCACGTTCTCATAGCTGTGTGCACGCAAGTAGAATAGATGGGTATTCGGATACTTTACATGATAATTATAAATCCAGATAAAATCGAGAAATATATCACAGCATATAAGATATAATGACTGATTTACAAATTGGTCCAGAATCGTTAGTTTTGTTGTGTTTCTGAAAGGCCCACATGAAAATATCTTAATGTGTGAAATATCCCTCACAGTTTGACTGACCTAATCGTTTGCTTAAAGTGAAACATTAAAATGCAGCTTGAAATGGCTTACTTTGCTCCTGCTCAGCAGTTGCCCTCTTTGCCTGCCCGTGAATCTCATCTTCTGTCGTCTCACTTCACTTTCTTCTTTTTCTTGCATCCTGATTTTGCTGCCAAATTAAAATGTACAAGTTGAGACACATTGAGGTGCCAGGCGTTTAAGATTTTTTAGATTGCTACAATGTTCCCTGCAGGAGCCAGAAAAATGCGAATGAATATTTTGACTGAGAAAGTTTCAGCTTGAAAACTAAAACAGGTCACTTCACTCAGAGTCTCAACAAAAGGAAATAAACTCTAAGAACTGTCATTTTGCTTTTTTCCATACTTCTAACAGCTGATCTGCATTTACTCAGAATGATCGACATTCCTACTAGTACTCTTGTTATTTTAGCTTTAAACAGATGTGCAATGTGATGGCTGCTAATTGTCTAAGGGTTTCAATTTTGACACAGTGGAGACAGAGTGTCTAATTGATCAGATTATGTTTAAAATAAACTAGATTCCAAATAATATATCAATCAGCTCAGACAAGGCTGAGAAAATTAAGCCCAGCAGTGACAGAAAAAAAGAAAAAAAAAATCACATTTCATGAATATAATTTGGCGTGAACTGACTGAAATATACTGTCAGTCAATTCACTGCTTGTCTGGAAGTCCACCAAAATCCCTGCAGCTGACAGTGAAGTGCCGGCATCCAAAATGGAGGCTCCATTTTGAGCACCACCGTCGCCTGTCTCTGCCATCGCGAGTACGTGCTTCAGCCTGGCAGCATGGCACATTTATGGGCATTCCCCATAAGGTGCCTTTCTGATTGATGGCACAGCCTCATGCACCTCCCTCTCATCACTCCTCAGTCCTGATTTATTCGTCTAGTCTCTGTGACTTGGCACTGGCATTGCCCACTACTTCTCCTGTGGAAACTCCCTGCGGGCACATTCACTATTATTTGGAGTCCCGGTGGGCAAAGGCATCAGACAGAAACATGCACGCACACACAACACCGTCTCATCTCACTCACACTGGGCCTGTGCTAGAGGGCAGGTGAGCCTCCCACTGCCTCCACTCTGAAAGGATCTCTCACCCAGAGGGCTCAGCTGCTTGGTGGGCCAGAGGGGGTAAGCGGCTCTGTAAGCGGCTCTGTAAGCCTGCCAAGTGACGAACTGGTCTGGGGTATGCACGAAGTCAATCCAGCACGCGCAAAAACTCACACGTGCACAAACACACAGGCAGTCTGCATGAACCTTGCATACTTCTCTCGTTGCCAATCTACATTTTATGAGCCTGTCGGGATCTCCATAAAGAGATCAACCCTAGTAGTGAAGGAATCAATATACATAAATACGCTTTCAGCATAGGGAGAACTACGAATACGTTTTGTGTGCATAGCTACTCGCTTTTTTTGGTTGGTTGGTTGTTTTTTTGCTCATTATGATGAAACTATAAAAATATTTATATAAAATATTCTCGAGCTATGCTAAACCAGAGCTATGACCAAACATAAACACAGATTCCCTTCAGCAATGATAGTGAACAGATTATGGCATGTTTGCTAAAAGGGAAAAAGGGCAAAAGAACATAGGAAGATATCACATTACAAATAAGGGTGAAATATTTGGGCCATTTTCGTGAACCTGTCTAACACACTGGAATGCACATGCTCCAAAATCTCAGTTTGGTAAATCCTTTACATGGAATTACGCATATTTTCTTACTTACTTATTAAATTATTTGTTTGTATCTTTAAGTTGTGGTTTGTGAGATAAATATCATTCCTTAGTTACATTTTTTAAATCAAAACAGTGGTTGGAATTTACCTACCACAAGATCAGATTAATAATTAATAATTATAGCCCGGTACGCAACTTGCTTCACATTGCAGTTCTTGAGTTTCAGTCTTCCGAGAAACCTGACTGTGTGGACTTCCTGTAAACTGAGTGGTAGTTTGCGTTGGTGCCTACCATCTAGTGGCCGCTTTACACAGAAACATCCACAAACGGCAGAACAGACAGTTCATCCGGTCGCATAACTTCCTTTAATAAACTGAACCAAGGGGGAAAAAAAAAAAAAAAAAAAAAAAAAAACACATTACAAAATGTTTCTTTTTACAGACACATGAAACCATTTTTCTTTCCTTTCTTTTTCCAAAGCAAAAAATGGAAACAAAACAATAGACCATTTTTTTTAGGCATGTTATCATTTTCTTTATGTAAAAAATAACTACACAAAAAAATGAGAGGAAAAACAAAAAAAAGCTTTTGTTGGCAGGTAGGTGAGGAGCAGACGTATGCAAGGAGGCTTTCAAAGCCTACTAGGAGAATCGGGAAAAATGTGTTTCTGTATGTTTCTAGCTTTGCATTCATTTAGCAGAAGAGTATGTGCATTATGGAGCAGTTCATCAAAATGCAGTTTATTCCATGTTTGAGACAGGAACATGAGCACTACAGGCTTGTTACGACACAAAGATCTGCTGTATGTAAAGAAGCGATACCTTAAAGTGAGCAGAGTTAGTTTTAGGTGATGACAGAGTGCGTCATCCAAGTAACCTGTACACCGGTGCCATTCAAAGCCGAAACTTAGCCCACATTTTCACACTAGGCCAAGATCATTCAAGGGTCGCCGGGGTCAGAGTGGAGGCACAAAGCTGAGAACAGGGGAGCTCGAATATGAACAGAAAAAGTCACATCTTCTGAGGTCATTTCCTCAAATGTACCCTTATGTAACAACTAACTTCAACAATTCTATCAGACTGTCAGGGTGGAGGATAATTACTTCATTCTCCAAAACACTGGTAATCCTGTTAGAAGGGGGCACTGCTGTGCACATGACAATCATTTGTTCTTAGGGCAAAAAAAGATATTATAGTTGTTTTCAAAGTTGCTTGTCAGCGGTGTAACACTAAATTTGGAAGCTACACTTCATTCGACACCAGACCCTTCAGTGTAGAGGAGAGTGAACGGGTTTGCAGATGGAGAGTATGCATAACCGCTGAAAGTCAGACTAACCTGCTGAGATACTCCCACCATAACACCACATGACAGCTCATTCTGCAGGCAGAGATATTCATGACCACTTCTAAAAATACTCCAGATCTCTTTCATTCAGGCATTCATTATCAAAATCTTTGATCCAACTTTCACTACCTGCACAGGGTCCAGTGAGTCATACTCTGTAGGTGTCCCTCTGTATTTCCTTATAGGCCAGGATTGCTGGACCAGTCCCACGGTACCCAGGTTGATCTCGACGGGGAACTGAGGATCAGCGGGCAGCTCCATGGGAAAAGCGGAGGTCCTGGTCTTTGGGAAACTGTGCTGCAGTGGTAGGAGCAGCAGTCGCTAGTCCTGCTGGGGCTTCAGCTGCAGCTGAAGGTTTAGGTGGAGAACTTGCAACCCATGGTGGAGGGCACTGTCTGTGGGCAAGAGCATCCACAGTAGGAGAAGGATCGTTGCTGCGCTGTGAGGCACCACATTCCGAGTCCTGCTGAGAGATGAGCTGGAGCAAGGCAGCTGCTACAGCAGGGCTGATGTCCTGGCTGGGTTGCGTTTCTGGCGCAGCCTGCTGGGAGTTTCCAACAGTTGATGGAGGTGGACCTGGTGGAGAGGGTGGACGTTGCTCAACAGTTGAAGGCCCCTGGTTGGCCCCAAGCTTTTTTCTTTTTGTCACTGCACCATCTGAAGGGTCCAAACAGAACAGAACACAGCACATTAGACGTAAACTTATAAGGCATAATTAAGTTAAGACCTACATACTAGCTACACACCCACTAATAAGCTTTCTTTTTCCTCTTATACTCCCAACCTGCATTTAAAGACAGTAGCACTGCATTTCAAATAAGCCTATCATGGAGTTACACAACGTTGACATTCCTACCTTTACCACAAGAGGGAGGGCAGAGCACTTTAAGTGAATCAGCACACTAACTAACTACAAATAAGGAACCATGCTGCAGTGGTAGGAGCAATCTTACAACAGTCTGTGTTTTTGGAATCAAACAACTTTGTGAACCTAGTGTAGATGCTATACAATATCACTAAAAACAATTAGACAAAAAAAAAATTGTTTTGTTTTTTTTACATCTGCCAAATGAAACGCATAACCATTTACCGATTCAAGTGAATGGTTATAGGTAGGTAAAAATAAGTGGGTTTTTTTCTATTTTTAAATAACTAGTCATTACCATTTAGATGTTTATTAAACAGAGAAACGTTAATGTCTTTGAATGCACTATAACAGATTAACACTTGCACAACAGATGCAGGCCCACACTTCCAAACCCCCCCCAAAATCACAGAAAAAAAATGTGGGAACTAAGTGGGAAAACAATACAAGGGGCATGTGCAGTTGGATGAACAGAAAAGGTGAATTAAGCAGGAGAATTTCAAGTACTTTCAAAGGGCGGGTAAGACTACTAAAGCAGCACTGTCTATTCTTTCAAATCTACTGCAGTGCAAGGTGGACCAGTGATGTAAGGTTTTCAAATGCTTTTAAAGGTTCACCATTCAGTGTCAGCAGCATAATCAGTGTTATTCCAATTCCTAATCACATTTTAAGAAAAACGTGACCCAGAGTGAACAGTTACCAAAAAAAAAAGTGACAAAAACCAAGGTTAAAAGAAACACATGCAGGTGACATCTAAAGATTCAAAACATTTATTTTCACTTGATAATTTATTAGACTTTCTTCATAAAAAGGGCTGACATTACAGACTGTTTAAAGCAACATCGCTCTCTGTGAAGAATCCATGACACCTGCTTTATAATGAAAATGAAGTGAGGAAGAAAAAACACATGTGGAAATGGGACAGAGAGAAACAAAGACTGTGATAAAGAAACAAGAAAGAGGGAAAATTGAAGGAACATCACAGTGTGAGCCTTTTTACTCAAATGAATAACACTGTACTTTCTTCTGGTTTATTGAGTACACCAGTGATGAACCCGTGATGAACCAGTGATATCCGTGTGCAACAAACCTTTACCTGGTTATCAGGGTCACAGGACAGCAAACGCTGAAAAGACAATTTGCCAGGGTTTTCTTTTGCACTTTTTTTTAATAGTACAGGTGTTTATAGGGGAAGATGTTGAATGTGTGTCACTTGTATGTCATGAATAAAAGAAGGGGTGGGTGTAATATCGGTCTAATAGCCCTATTTGCAAATTTTATTAAGTATCCTAAAATCAAAGTAATTTGATACAGTATATAGTCAGCTTCTGTTTGTTCCTTGCCTGGCTCTTTCCACTCTTATGATTTCCAACTGACCCTGGTACCTTTTCTGTTTCACACTCTATAGGCTAAACCCAGACTTGCCCTTGCAATCAGTAGTAGAAGCGGACGAACCGCGCGTTAGTGCCTCCTCTGACTGAACGCCATTACTTTCATCGCCTTGCTCCTCGGTTTGTGGCTTTATAATTTGGCCCAAAAGGAGAGCCAGTAGCTTGGCCTGGTCTTCCTGGCTGAGTGGCGGATCTCCAGATGTCGGTGAGATCTCTTGGGGTTCAGGAGGCGGCTCTGGGGGCTGAGACCTGGAAGCTGCCTGGGTCTGGTCCTCTGGTGCCCCCTGGTGGTCAGAGGACTCACTAACAGCAGACAACAACTGGCTGAGAGTCTCTGGATTGGGGAGGTTGAGGAGCTGAGCAACCTGGGGCAAGCCGTCTGCCTGTCCCTGGAGAAGGTTTAGCAGCACTGCCAGCTCTGTCTGATTCAACTGCTCTGCAGCCGATGCCAGGCCTAAACACACACATGCATGCGACTAGAATTCAGTGTCAGTCTAATAAAGACACAACAATCAAATACATTTAAAATTAAATAAATAAATTCTTATATAATTTTTTTTTTCCCACAATACAGAAACTTTTTTGAAAAAACAAAAAAATGTGTTCCTGGTTAAATACTTAGTATCTGTTACCTGACAACTCACTCTCTATGTTGGTTGTGGAGGGTGGTTTTCCTGGAGGAGGTGGTGGAGCTCCAGTGGGGCTGTTTGGGGGACGAGGGTTGTCTCCGCTGGAGGTCCCTGTCACATCTTTACGGGGCACTTTGGGCACAGGCACATCCTCGACGACCCCGCTCTGACGTGCACGTCTTCTCTTCTTGCTCCACAACTCGTGACAGTCTTGATGATGAGGAAGGCTAAAAAAGAAAAAAGAAATTGTACAAATTTAAAATATACATTTTATTAGCCAAATAAAACTAAATAAATAAAGAAAATGCCCTAAATAGGCAATAATTGTATTCTGATACAGATAATGTCCTAGTGTTATTTTTCACGTGCTAAATCCAACACTGTCATTGTGTTAACCCTCACTAGAACCAGCTACTAACTCTGGTGGTGGCATCCTGTTGGGCTCAACATCATGCAGGAAGTCACTGAAGAGCGCTTGCTCCGATGTGCAACGGCGTGCAGGGTCAAGGGTCAGCATTCGGTCCAGTAAGTCCAGGGCAGGAGTAGGTAAACTATGTTGAGGAGAAAAAATATTACTCCTCTAGAACCAGACAGAGTTGATCACAGCTGTCTTAGGTAAGCGTAGTTTGAGTACATACTGTGCAAACTCCTCCCGTAGTCGCCGTCTGTACTGCTTCTTGGGTTTCATTGTGTTGAACAATGGAAGTTTAATGACATCAGGCCAAACGGCCGGACAGGGACTCCCACACAGTCGGCTGAGACAAAGGAAAGGGTTAATAAGCTTGATAATTCAATCAGAAATTATTACTTGAAATTTATTTGTGGCAGGCAGTCTACCTGATCAGCTCTAGTTGCAGAAGTTCCTGGTTAGCCTGGAAGATGGGCTTCTTGGTAAAGAGCTCTCCAAGAATACACCTGAGCCACGACAAGTAAGAAAAGGTATTGCATGTATATAATGTATGTATATAATGTAAAGTTTAAAACAGCTTTTAAAAACTACTTAAAGAGTAATGGTCTGGCAAAATCTTGGTCAAATAGGCTTGTGAAATGTTATGAATGTAGGCCCTTTTATTCCAACAAGGTAAAGCTCCTAAAGTATTCACAAGGAATACTTTAGGAGAGTAGATAAGGTTGTTTAAGAGTTGTATGACAAAGGTGAAAGTTTTGTGAATGTTTATAACCAAGTGTGAAAATTCGAATTTAATATGGTAATACCTTTGGGCTTGCTGCAAAATAAGACAAATTATTTCTATAAAATACTATAAAACAATTGAAGATTTAGGAATATGACACATATCTAAAGAGAAATTTGCGCATTAGTCACCAAACGTAAATAGTACATTGTAAAGATTTTATCAAAACGTTCCCAACACATCTGCTTACACTGCAGAAATAAATACTTAAATACATCTACTAACAACCATTACAAAAAAAGTTAACTACCAGACAACAGACAGGTAAAATATGTGAGATTAGACACTGCTGTAATATAATAACAATTAAAAAAAGACTACAGCAGCTGTCCAAATGATCTGCATAAACCATTTTTGAAGAAATTGAGTGAAAATGACTTGTGATGAAGGACAAAGCAAGGAAAACACAAGTCTAGCACAAATATGCCACTTTAGAGTAGTTTGTGGGTTGAGCCAAGGTGAATGGGAAAATAGGACTATTTTGGTACAGTAAACCCTGATGGGTGGGAAGCTTTAACCTGCAATTATGCACCCTAGGCAACTCAGGGGTGTTATGTGACTAACCTGAAGTAAAGGCTGAGACTCTCTCCTCCCCCCCCCCCCAAAAAAATGTCTTAATCTACATAAAAACAACAGTATAATCTGTTGTTCCCCAATTATTCATCCGACAATAAATCATACACTTGAAGACCACCTGATTTGACAGACAGAAGTACTAAGATAACCGTTTTGTACTCACCCACAACTCCAAACATCAATGGCTGGAGAATATCTCTCCTCTCCCAGCAGAAGCTCAGGGGGACGATACCATAGTGTGATTACTTTATTAGTGTATGGCCGGCTAGGAGCAAGAAAAGAGAGATGAGATGGGAGTTAGCAGTCATATATGTCCCCCAGTGACAAATCAGAATCATTTTAGCTCCAAGTAACTGTATTATTTCTGAGACACAGCCCCATCTTGTGGACAGACATTGTAAATTAAAAAAATAAAATAAAATAAACTGCTTTCATTCAGCAACTTAAACACTATAATGTCTATAATCACTAAATGGAATTAAGCAGATCAGGTATATACAACCGTCGCCTCTTACCTTTCCTCTGAGTTGTAAAGACGAGCCAAACCAAAGTCAGCCAGTTTGATCTGACCTCTGCACAAATAAGCACAGATAACATTTAAAAAAAAAAAACAATACCAAAAAAAGCATTGCCAACTACTGAATCTTAGTGCATCTAATCCTAAAACACAACTCAAAGTGTCTTCACTGTAAAAATCAACTGATACTGTAAAATACACACTGCTCTTAAAGAAACAACAAATATTATTGGTCAAATTTGGCAGCGCTCAGGTGCAAATGATCCACTTCTAATGTCTATTTGAAGTCAGCTGTTCAGTAGCAGGGCAATAACTTCAGGCACTGTGGTTTTTAAATCCTCCACTTCCCAGAAAAACACACATTTTCTTAATTCTTGATAGCTCATTTAAGCTCAGTTTTTTCATGCACCTTGGTTGCACATTGGATGTTCAACTGTACTAAGCAACCATCTGTGGGAAGTTGCTGTACTCCACTAAGGTTATCTGAAGCATCCAATTAATTTAGTTACTTTGTAATTAGTTTTCCTGCAGACACACTTTTGAACCCTTTATGCCTGACAAATTATAGCAATCGTTTGATAGTATTTAAGGAATGCGGATACATTTAAAGGTGTGAAGATTACATTTCTTAGTGTTTGTTTACATGGGTGAATAAGAAAAAAAAAAAGTAGATAAAACTTAAAATTCACATGTCACTGTTAGTACTGAAAAACCTGTAACTAGGAACAGCCTTGCTGCTACTGCATTTTACTGCAATTGTCTGCACACAGGAAACAATACTTTACTCACTTGTTATTTAGCAGTATGTTGGAGCATTTGATGTCTCTGTGCAGGAAGTTGTTTTTGTGGCAGTAGTCCAGGCCCTCCATCAGCTGACGCATGAAGCTGCGGATGTGCTCATGGGAGAACTGGACCAGGCCTGACTCCAGCAGGCCCATCAGATCATGGTCCATGTACTCAAACACCAGGTAAAAAGCTCCTAAAAATACAAAGATGTATTCAGATGTCTTAAACAAAAATACATGCACACACATATGTCTGTGGGTTCACATAAGTGGACATGTGTTAAATGGTTAATAGGTATTCAGGTAAATTTAACCATGCTTCTTTAAAAGTGAAGTTACTGAACTGCATTGCACCTGCATTGCCAGCTATTTAACATTCACACAGCCCAGAAAACTCTAGCAGCACACTTCTCTCTGGATTGAAACATCAACGAACTGTTCAAGTTAACAGTGACTACAGAGAACGTAACCAGATGTGGTCATTATATCAGTTCTAGTTTTTCAGTTTTTATTTCTTTTGCTTTAAATTATGTTTTATGCTAACAATTTCAAATGTCACAAACAATTTATTCCCACAATAGTAGCAGTTTCTCTTCCACTTATACAATTCAGTGTTGCAGAGAGGCTGTGTACACCCTGGATAGGTCCCCAGCCGGTCGCAGGACCAACACAGACAGAGACAGACAATAATTCACACTCACATTCACACCAATTAACCTAGCCCCACTAAGTGAAGGTAGAGAACCCAAACGCAACCATAAATATATAACTTGTCATAGAAACAACACTAAATAATGTGCTTTTGTATAAAAAAAGACAGTGTATTCTATGAGCGTCACCTTTTCTTATAATTTTCTGCTCTCATTTTTGTGTGTCATTATCTGCTGGTCAAGGTATGTGTATGCACGTTTTCAGACATGTTACAGTTTCAGGTCTGACTCCGTCAGTGCTGTCACAGCTGCTAAAACATATTTCAGTGACAAACAGAAGTGCTGCACATCCGGTTTCATATAGTGTGCCCACTATTACTTTCCTGGCATATGCCTGTAGTCTACCAATTAGGTGGAATCTACACACCATTTAAATGGCTTCTAGGGCTTCAGTTGTTCAATGTTCAAGAAAGATGTGACACCAGCACAGCCTTATAACTATTTATACTCTTGGTTAAACAGCGCTCAACTAGTTTACAACCAGTTTACTAAAACTAAAGGCATCGTGCACCAGTAATCATAAAACCACTTTTCTCGCACTACCATTTGCAAGGATGACTACAGCAAACTTAAGCTGTCTGTAGGTTCTCATACATTGAATGACATACTCAATTCAAGCAGTGAAAATCGTGCATATACCTAACTCGACCAGATGAATGATAAAAATGCAGTGTAATTCTAGATAAGCAAAAATGTATCGCTAAACTCATTAATAAATACGTTTAGCTATACAATACAAGTGATTACTGCCATCTTTGTGACATCATTTAATTAATTAAACTAAAAACAAGATCCATTGGAGAATTTCTTTTTAAGGGGATGCCTTCTCCCACCTGCAAAGTTTTCCCCTTGCATTTAAAACAAACACTCCCCCCCTAACTTATCATAGGGCTGCTCAATTAATCAAATTTTAATCACGATTACGATCTGGGCTTTCAACAATCATTAAAAATGACTGAGCCCATTATTAGCCCCTCCCTCGTGCTTTACTCTCGCGCTGCTCCGTGTGGCAAATCTAGCGCACCTCTCTGCGTTTCGAACACGTGTCACAACAATTAAGAGCAGCGGTCCCCAACCATTTTTGCGCCACGGACCGGTTTGTGCCCGACAATATTTTCACTGACCGGCCTTTAAGGTGTCGCGGATAAATACAACAAAATAAAACTAGTACCGGTACCGAAGAAAAGAAGATTTATTCATAACACAAGTGAAAAGACCCAGGAAAACAGAGTAAACGATAAAAACGATAACAAAATAACGCTGAAAACCGATAAAAACCCTGAAAACTATACATTTCACACCTGAGCCTCAACTCTCGCGGCCCGGTACCAAACGACTCACGGACCGGTACCGGTCCGAGGCCCAGGGGTTGGGGACCGCTGATTAAGAGGACCCGAGGGAAGCTCAGAAAGCTAAGCAGAAGTTATTTAGAGAGGAGAGTGACTGCTGTTGGTTGAAAAGAGAGGTTAAACAAAACTTCAGTGGTGTGGAAGCATTATTGGTTCGCGGAGTCAGACGTGGATCAAATAGACATAGTGTGTAAACTTTGCTACGGTGTCGTAGCTGCACCACAGAGCAACACTGCAAAGTTCACTAAACATAGATGTTTACATTTTTCATTTATTTTTTATATTGCAAACATCTGCACTGTTATCAGTATTTGCACACTATTTTATAATATTTTATGACAATCTTTAAAGTCATTGTTCAATACATTGTTATTGTTAAATAAATATCGTCAAATAATCGAGATCTCAATTTCAGTGAAAATAATCGTGATTATCATTTTTGCCATAATCGAGCAGCCCTAACTTATCATCACTTCTTACCTACTTATACCCCACATGAAAGAAAACAGCAAGTTTTTTTTTGCCCCCCTTACCTTTATCCTTTTTAAAGTCAAGTGCATCTTGCTTGTCAGTGACAATTTCCTTCATGTTGACAACACTACGGTGTTTGAGCTGCCGCAAGATCTTAATCTCTCTGATGGCTGTGATGGGGAAGCCCTCTTTTTCATTGTCCAAACGCACTTTCTTCAAAGCCACCAGTTCACCTAGCATATTTGGAGAACACATTTTAGAGAGCCACTCTTTTTATTTTTTTTAAATCTTATTTGGGTTTTATTTTTTTAAGGAAAACATAGTAGTAAATGGATTTCACTTACCAGTGTCTTTGTCCTTGGCCTTGTACACTTGGCCATAGGTGCCTTCCCCTATGATGCCAATTATATCAAATTTATCTACACACCGTTTGCCCCAGTCACTTTGGGTATGTTTGCGCTCACCATATCGCGGGCAACAAATCCTGGAAAGCACAAACAAGAAAAGCAGCTAAGACATCATGTGTGATTAATGAAAGGAAAACTTTAAGTGGGTGAGTATAAAAGTGAATGCTGACTTTGGTCTCTTCTTAAGGGCTGTCTGGGGTAAGAGAGGAGGCTGGCGGACAGGTAACTGTGGGGGTGAAGAGTCCCCTCCAAGCAAGGTGGGCGGTAAAGGCAGATCAATAATAGAAGGGCGGTTGCGACCTTCTTTGTCCTTTCTTGATGGCCTCTGGGGAGGAGTGGATTTCTTTGGGCTAATAGAGCAAGATTTAAAAAAAAAAAAGTTTAAGACAAAACCAGGAACACATTTTATGCACCGTTTTCATGTTGATGTAACAACTAACACACACATTCAGATTAAAACTAGTTACAATAAAGTGTACATACCACGATTTAAAAGAGGAAAATTTAAATTCACTTTCATCTAACAGTGCGCCATTTTTGTTTTTTGTAGGATGGTAACTGACATATTTAAAACACCAAAGTGCAAACATAGCATTTATTCATAAAATTTTTCATATCAAGTTATGTCTTGAAATTACTTAATTTTTGTTAAAATGACTCATGAAAAACAAAATGGGATGTCTTGAATGGTGTGTTCAAGACATCCCGATGTACATACAAATCACTGACAAATGACAGTATAAGTCCAAGAATAACAGCTGTAAACTCATACAACAGATTAATAGGCACTAAGCTTGACATAACACAACAGGCACTAGATCAGTGTGCCTGTTGAGGGATTCCTCACCTGTCCTGAGCATTTCCCAGCAGTGCAGGTGGTAGCGGCAGGGGAGGAAGAGTCGAAGTCTTGTGGAGTGGGGTCTGGCGGACAGGGCTGCGAGCAGGAACTGTTGCTGGCGATTTAGTTTGTGACACGGTTGAGGGTGTAGGAGGCTGAATGTTTGTTTCTGCCTGAGGTGGTGGTGGAACCTGTGTGGCTGGATTGGGTGGCGCTGGAGAAGAGGGCTGTGGAGGAGGTGGCGGCGGTGCAGGAGAGTTGTTTGAAGAGGATGTTAGAGTTGCAGTCATCGGCTCATCAGCATTGGGAACATCATGGGATAACTGCTGGGTTGGTGGGGGCTGAGGTTCTGATGCTGCTACTGCTGTTGCACCTTTTTCTGGCTGTAGAGCTTCAGCTTTAGCAGGCCGTGAGGATGAGGAGCTTGACGGTTTTTGAGCTGTCGGAAGTGGAGAGGCGCCACCACTAGCACGAGCAGCCGCCTCAGCAGCCAGGCGTTCCTTCTTCCTGCGACTCAACTCTGCACCTAAGCTGGAATTGAGGGGCAGACGTGACGAAGGAGGGGAGCGGCTAGCTGGCCGGTTACTGTGGGAAATGCTCCCTGTTCCAGCAGAGGAGGTGTGCCTCTTACCGCGGGAACGAGAGGAGGAGCGGTGAGAAGAAGAGTAGTGCAGAGGGGAGCGACTCCTGGAGCGGCCCGAGCGTCTAAAATAAAAAGCACATTTTTAAGATCATTTATAGATTAAGACAGAGAATTAGAGGCAAATGAAATGCATGATATAACTGAGACAGACTGCTGATCCATGGCTAAATAAGATCTCTAGATCATATTATAATGAAATCAAAACCATGTGGGACAAGTAAAACTAAAACTACTGACGCTTTTATTCTTGTTGTCTAAAGCAATATACTGGGCTAATTAATTAAGAACATTATTTAGTTTCAAAAACATTTCATTGCTACATAATGGTGACATTTTGAAAATGATATTACACATCAAATAAAAATCTGTTACCTTCTCTATAAAAGAATGTGAGGCCCTCCTAAAACTAAGTACCGGGTTTCATTAAAGACACCTGTCTTTTTCTGAAATCAGTGGCAAGTATGGACTCTATAGCTCAAATGTAATTATGAACACAAATACTTATGGTCACAGAGCCAGGTTGTAGTGCCCTAAGCTTCTGTTTTTGAATTGAAATGACAGCTTAAGGCAAACCCTGTTTTCAACTACAGGTATTGCCTATCTCCATCCTGTATTTTTCTCACTCTCAAGCTTTTGTCTGTTATGTATGGTAAATTTCAACTTCAATGCAGAGATCAATTTGCTGGAGTGAAAAGCCCTCTCCAAGTTCAACATATTTGTCTAATCTCAAACTTAAAATGCATGTAAAGTAGGATCATAAAAGGTGAAGGTTCTGGAAATATGCAAAACCTCTACGAAAGGTGGCTTGATAAGTAAATGTCTCGAACATAATCCCAAAAAGATTTAAAGGGTGACCTATAGCATATACTCACCGAGACATGGGGCTCGTACTGGAGGACCTGCGGTTACCATAGGGGCTCGTGGAGCGTCTCCTAGAGTAAGGGCTGCTGTCCCTCTCAAAGCTGGAGGACCTGTGTCTGCTGCCGTAGGGGCTGTCTGATCTCTGCCTGCTACGGCGAGACACATCACCATAGGTACTCGGGCTTTGCTGGGCCGCCCTCCGTCTTGAGTAGCTGTCATCCCCCTGATGTCCATACCCACCGCCCAGTGGACTCTCACTACCGGCCCCTCTTCTGGGACTCGGCGACAATGCAGAGCTGGTGCCCTTTCTCCGTGGGCTACCCCTACTTGAAGACTTCCCCTTCGGGCTTGACTTGTGGCTCTTGGAGGACTTGCGATGGCTTCTATCTGTCCGGCTCCTCTGGGAGGAGCTGCGGCTGGCCTCCCCTCGGCCTTCTCTCCGCTGTTGCCTGTCTTTGCGAGACTTCCCTGAGCGGCTGCTCTCCTTGCTGCGAGATGAGGATGTAGAAGAAGTAGTGCTACCTACACTGGCTGCAGGCGGTGCCTGAGAGGAGAGCATCAGCTCCCCACGTTTGGAATCCCCCTCTGACGGCACCTGGCGTTTAGATGAGGAGCCTAACGAGGCCTCCTTCTCCTTGCCCTTTCCAGAAGTCACTTTCTCGCGATCTTTACTGCTCTTTTTCTTGGACCCACGTTCTCCATTTCCAGAGTCTCTAACTTTGTTAGTGTCCTTGGACTTTTTTCGTGGGTGTCTGTGCCCCCTGCTCTCTCTATTACCTTCTTCTTCGCCAATATCCCTATCGTAGTCTGGTGAGGGCTCCAGTCGATTTCCCCCCCTCTCAAAAGGCCTGGAGGACGGTGGGTCCGAGAAGGTGTCCGAGTCGGAGCTAATATCGTCGTACTCCACTAGAGGCTTCACCGTGTTGACACCAGGAGGCGCCGTATCGCCGAGGGTAAAATCGTCAGGTGCCGCCAAGGATTCCCGATTATGTTTTGTTGATTTATGCCGTTTGCGTTTTAAAGAAGAAGAGGACATTGAAGTTTTTAACTGCACCTTGCCGTCCTTGCTCATCATGTCTCCCGCAGAGGTATGAGTCGGGCCCTGGGTCTGGTGTGGCACACCACCGATGCTAGATTCCGGCTTCCTCTTGGTCCCATGGTGTCGGTCCGACCCAGGCATCCCTCACGTCGGCGTCGGTGCCTCTTCTGCGACTTGGCCTCGGTGATCCAGGCAATTCATTCACAGGAGACCAGTAGCAACTCCAAATGTCAAAACAAGTCTTACTAAGCGAAATCAGGACAGGAAAATACAAAAATAAACACACCAGGCCGCTTACGTCCACTTCTCCTCAATGCCAATTCATTCCATTGAGATCACCAGCATATTTCGTCAAAGCAGATAAATGCCAAGTTGGTTTTCCAGTGCTGCGAAGTTTGTACTTTCAGTTAGTCAGCGAATGAAAAAGACTCCAACCAAACATCTGATCATTGTGGTGTCGTCTCCGTCTCAGTTTAGCTAGCACAGCTAGCTAAAGCTCGGCAGCTAGCGAGCTGACTCCTAAAAAAGAAAAAAAAAGTCCCTTTGTGAAAGCTGTCCTTGTCCGGTGCCAAGTTAAATAAAGGTGTTTTTAATTCCACAGAATAAGGTCTTAGCATTCAGAAACAAGCAAATGCCTTCATTAAAAGACGCTCGTTTCTCCAACAAAATGAAAACTTGACCCGGTTGGTACTGATTACATGTTCCCTTTAATGTAAGTTTTATCCCCTATAAATTCAATATTGATAAGAAATTATAATATTTTCGTGTGCAGTAGATGTTCCAGTTTATTATCAATGGCTCTGGAAATCAACCAGGCCTATATTTAGGGCGATGCTAGTGGATTTAATATCATCCACAGCCCTAGCTCAAGGAGACTACAAACGCCATCATGGCTCCTGTAACTAGCAACTTCTGCGCACAGCCGATTGAACCGGAAGACGGAGCACTGCCAATCTTGACTGTATCCGAGCAACTTCCTATCACCGCAAAGATCCCACCCACCGTCCTCATGGCGACACGACAGAGACGTAAAATGAAGAGATGTGTATTAATTAGCAAAAGTACGTTTTTACAAACTTTTCAAGTTTCAGATAACACATTTAAATCAACACACATGTTAGATGCCAGGCTCATGATGGGTTGTTAAATGTCGAGCTTGTTGGAACAGAAAAGGAAGACACTGGGGCAAAGCTAATAGAGCAAAGTCTTATTATCAACAGGCAGCAGGCAACTGCCTCTGGGTCCTGAAAGCTTCAACATATTTAACCTACTACTAAGGTTCATTAACTTACATGGTAAGGTCTTTTTAATAAGATCTGCTTCACAAGATAAGCATGAGGTCCAGTCTTAGGTGGGCGTCTTTCAAAATGTAGTAGTTTTTTACCATGTTACCCCAGAGAAATCTGTGTTTAACTAATGCTCTAGTAGGAAAAAGAAGCGAAAAGAAGATCTTGCAAAGTGTTTAGGAGAAATCAACCAAAGCATGACTTTATGTTGGGCTTGTCTCCGTACTAGTACTTTCCACATCAGCAGATGGATCAGCATTCTGCGTATTGGTAAGATAAATAGAAATCTACATGTCTTAAACAATACAACAATCAGACAATGGTCACTTGGAAGGCAGTGAATGAACTAAAGCTGCCATGAAAGAAAAACAGCATTTGTTCTTGCCCTGTGGCTGACATATGTCAGTTTGCCTGTGGGTATCTGTGGTTTAGGATTTTCAGGTTTATGTGTACACAGAATAGTTTTAAATAGAGAGTTGTACTTTATCTTACTGAAAAAAATAGTTATCACAAATCACAGTTTCACTTAAAGTATATGATATGAAATGAATAATTAAGCAGAGATATTTCAGATTTTTTAAGGACAATGCTATATTTAAGTGCATTTACACACACACACTTAATTTACAAAAACACACTGACATGTCTGCTGGTTGAAATTGAGGCCTGGATCTTTACAAAACACACAAATAAGGAATTTCTGGGTCAAAACTTTTCTGTCTTTCTGGTAAAAACACAAACTCTTTCAAGCTACAGACACACACACAAAGCTTGCGGTGCAGCCAGTGTTAAGGCACCCTAGCTGCTTCATTTAGATCCAACTAAAGTCCGTTAACTACTACTACAGATAACCTACCGATTATCTTACATGTAAATCTTGCTAAACTTTAAAGTTAACCCCAATGTGTTCATCCTGAACTTTTCATGAAAGTCAAACATCTTTTTTTTTTTGACAGCAGGTACCTATTTATACACTTGTGATTTGTACTTCACAGGGCAAGTTTTGGGTGATAATTTTGTAATATAATGTGATAATACAAAAACAAACCTTTTAAAAGACTAGTAAAATTGGGTATATAAACATATTTTATATTACTTTTCATTCATATACTTGGAATTCATTTATGTGAACTCACTATTTCTTTTCTAGTCTTCCTTAATATTCAGAGCTTCATGTATCTGACATCTCTGTTGTCAAACTGTTTTTTTTAATGCCACACTTCAGAAAACCTTCAACATTTTTCCCTGGTAACAACACACCGTTTGAGAACTACTCCATTAACATAACAAGCATCTCTCTTTGGACCAGAGAAAATCAAGAAAATGCCTGGAAGAGGTTGAACCCCCGACCTTATTTCTGTTCGAAAATAGTACTATCATCTGCATCTCTATGTCACTGATATACAAGACCTAGACAGAATAGACAGAATTGAAGCTAGTTGGGTATTTAATGCCTTACCTGTAACTGAAATAGGAAACCAGGTAGCTCCCACAAATTACATATTAACAGTATTAAAACGTTGAGGTCCAATGAACAGTACTAGAGGGCACATTTGTTTGGATTATTCCTTTAGGGATAAAATTGTCTTCTACAGTGCACTTCTTTCTGAGTGTGTATTTTGTAGCTTAAAAAAAGCTACAAAATAGCTTTTGTAGCAAAAAAAAAAAAAAAAGTTCTATCCTATCCTATCCTTAACACATTTGCATATACACTCATAAGTGATTTTATTAGGTACACTTTGCCAGTACTGAGACACTTGCCTTCAGAACTGCCTTAATTATTCATGGCACAGATGCAATAAGATCCTGAAAACGTTTTGATCCATATTGACATCATAGCATCTCACAGTTGCTACAAATTTGTCATCTGCACACCCATGATATACATCATTATACATCACATCCCAAAGAAGCTCTATTGGATTGAGATCTGTTGATTCTAGAAGCTGTTAGAGTACAGTGAACTCACTGTCATTTAAGGAAACCAGTTATTTGAGCTCTGCAAAATGGCATGTTATCCTGCTGGAAGCAGCCATCAGAACATCCAAAGATCCAAATATTGCAAGACTTATCAGACCAGGTAATATTTTTCCAAGGTTTGATGTATTGTGCATTCATGATTGCTCTTCATATATTGGTTGTGATGAGTGGTTATTTGAGTGGCTGTTGCCTTTCACACAGCTTGAAGCAGTCTGGCCACTCTCCTCTGACCTCTGACATCAACAAGCCATTTTCACCCAGAGAACTGCTGCTCACTGGATATTTCCTCTTTATTTTGGACCATTCCCTGTAAACCTTAGAAACAGTTGTGTGGGAAAATCCCTGTAGATCAGCAGTTTCTAAAATACTCACACCAGACTGTCTGGCACCAACAACCAAGTTACATACAAAATCACTTAAATAACTTTTTCTTCTCCATTCTGATGATAAATTTGAACTTCAACAAGTCTACTTGACAATTCTAGCAGCTTAAATGCATTGAGTTGTTGCCATGCAACTGGTTGATTAAATAGCTGCATTAAAGAGCAGTTGAACAGATGTATCTAATAAAGTGGCCAGTGAGTAAAGAACAAAAGATGCAAAGGTCCTCTTCAAATTCAAACCTTGGGATTAAAACCCCCCCAAAAAAGTATATTATTTACACACACTTTAAAAGGGGGTTCTTTATCCTTAGGGGCATCAGGAGATAATTGTTCAATTAAAAATCGCTGTTTTCTTAAAGTTACAGAGCACCAGACCCCAGTCAAACACTACTATTTGCGTATTAGAAATTAAGAGAACATATTAGCTATCACTAGCTTTGCTATAAATATATTGATGCTAAGTGTTATCTGGCGTGTTAGTTTTACGCTCTACGATGACGCAGTATTACGAGCTGTCGTCCTTGGATGCTGATTGGACCCGCTGTTGACGAGGGGTGTGCCCGAGGAGAAACGAGGAAGTGGCGTTTCCCTATTGCAATAACAAAGTTGGAATGTTTAATAACAGCAGATGAGATAGAATAATCTAAAAACGAGTGTTAACCGTTACAGATAGTTAATAAAATGCCGAACTCACAGGTTCTATTCTGGTTTTAATACAGTGGAAAGGTCTTCAAGTGGCAGTACTCATATCAGACATGCACTTCACTTTAGACGTTTTTGTTTCATACTATAAGAGAAACATAATTTTTTTAGCCTACGTTTTCTCACAAAGTCTGTATGAACTTTAAGTCTGATCTAACTTTTTAATTATCACATGTGGCCCCAAACCCTCGATAGGTATTCATGCTACGTGTGCGGGCAAATGGTTGACACCCCACTTTGATATTTATATTTGCTCCTCTGTGAGCTTTGGTTAAAGGAGCAGTCAGAGAGCAAGAAATAGTGCGCACTGAGCAAGGTCATTATATTTATTATTTTTCATATTAATGTTATTTATTTATTATGGATGTAGGGGTTGTACCGGCTGAATTTTAGTCTGCCCCACTGCTGTCGGGCTATTGTGTGGATGGATAGAAAGCTGTGCTTATAGGGGGAGGAGGAGGTGAGGGCGAATCGAGCTGATAAGAGAAGTGGCTTATGGCTGGCTGGCTGCTGCTCGTAACCCATATATTTTGTTTTTATCGGTAACAAGAGGTTTTGTGGTTCGTGGTACAGGTCAAAATACATCAAACCACCGGAGCTACCGAGAGGACGGTAGCATGATAATCGTGGAGAGGGCCCGTATCTGCATTTTACTGCGCCTACACCGAATCCATTGAGTCGGTTACCAGCGTCCGACATGGGGAAGGAGGTAAATGGTGTTTCGCGGAGCCGGTTTGAGGTGAGTTAATTATTTCCATTAACTGACAGTCACTGAGACACATTTAAAATAGCCGATATAACCGCTACGATCCGGGCCTGCGTGTTGACTGTTCCTATAATTATTATAAAACTGCGCTTATGGGGAGGCTATTGATGCAGCTTCCGCAGTCAGTATTTGGGATTAGGTCAAACACTGTTGTGTTGTTCAAGCAACATATAGGCTGTCGAGGCCTGGCGTGGAGAGGACGCACGTCAGTGTTTTCCACTAAAGCCGACGTGCTGCTCGCAGCCACTTTCAAGGCATTTTGAGTGCTCTTTAAACGTTGTCCTCGTTTCCCTTTGCGCCGTCAAAACAAAGACAATGAGGCTACACAGAGCACGCCGAGGAAAGCTTCGACACACATCAACATAATGAGCAGAAGTGGAGGATTTAGTGGTTTCACTTTGAAAAGAAGCTGCTTGAAATTATCCTCATATGCAGGATTGTTATGTTCCCCCTTCTCTCTTTTGAGACCTCGTTATGTATGCTATATCTATAGCCGCTGCGGCGGTGGTGGCCTCAGTCTGCTACCTGCACCCGGTGTTAGCACAAAATATCTGAAAATAGTGCCGAGCTATTACAGTGTAACACACATCATAACCTATACTCGTCTCAAAAGGCCCATATGTACGCTGTCTACCTACAGTGTCGTTGTTGGGGTTTTTTTTTCCCCAATGCAAGGCTATTACCATAAACTTTGTGTCGCAGCCGCGCAAGCGTAGCTCAATATTTTGGTGCGAACTTATATACAAACAAATGTATCCGGCCACTGACATTGGCCTGTATAGCCCGAGCATTTGATGTTGTTTAATCCCCAGTTAGCGTGGGATTTGTGTGTGTGGTTTTATTTATTTTTAACGGTGAACAGCTGACGACTCAGGCCGTTACCTTCTGGCCCGACAGCTGCGGCGGAGCTGCTGTTTAAAGGTATCTGGATTTAGGAGAGGGGAGAAGCGGAAATGGCGATGTTTTGCCTTCAAGATAAAAGTGTTTCTATTTTTCAAACACTCTGTAGTTAAGGTTTTGTGTTTTGTTGTTGTTTTGTGTAGTTCACAAATTTATGTACTTGTTTTTTTTTTTAAACTTGAAGACATTTGATCTATTGTAGCACCAATTCACAGCAAAAGTTGCCTCAGGACACTTTTATATTGTAAGGTAAAGATCTTCAAATTTTTTAAGAAACCCCAACGATAATATGACCACCAATGAGGGAGCACTTGGCAACAGTGGGAAGGAAACACTGAATTTTAACGGGAAATAAACCTCTGGCAGAACCATGCTCGTGGAGGGACAGCCATCCACTGTGACCAGTTGTGGGAGCAGAGAGAGATGGCAGAAAAGGCAAACTATGGGAGAAAAGCTGAATTTAATAATTGCCAACATGCAGTTGTGGTGTATGGTCACATGGAGGGTGAAAAGAAATGAGTGAAGAGGAAATGGTCAGTGCATCATGGGAAGCCACCCAGCAGCCTGGGAGCTGGATAGTTGAAGGCTCTGCTTCCTATTCTACTTTTAAAAACTCTAGGAAACACAAGTAAGCCTGCTGTCTAAGAACAAAATGCTACATAAGCATAACAATGTACTATGAAGGCTTTAAGACATGACTGGGCCTAATTATTTTACATTTTGTGTGTGTGTGTGTGTGTGTGTGTGTGTGTGTGTGTGTGTGTGTGTTATATATATATATGATTTTTAGGAAGTAAAAAAAAAAAAAATCTGGGTATCGACATATCAGCCAGCAGTATGAAAATGGATGTTTTCATTGCTTATTAACTTTTAAGCAGTCTATTCAAAACACTAGATAATAACTTAAAGTGAAGATGCCGCTGGACTTTGCACCAGCAAATGATTAGCCGTGATCTGATCCGTTGGGGGCATCAGCTACTACTGTTCCATCAGATCCCATTGAACATACAAGTTGTACTTGGGTGTTTCAAGGAACCAATGCCAATCCTGACAATATTAGATGCTGAGTGACAAACTGAGTCCAAAGTTACATGTTTGCCATCCAGAAGACTGCAGTTTGTGTCCTGTTTGTTCTTGCGCACTATGTGAAGGGGTCCACTAAGACAAGCTAAGATAAGATGTGATGTAAATATTAAGTCAGGATTTGGGGAAATTCTTCAGTTACAACAGTTAAAAAAACTAAAGTCAATGTAACAGAAATAGGAATATGTATCTAAAATAAACCTGGTATCTTGATAAGGTAAAGACTAATCTGAAATATAAATGCATATGTTAAAGAAAAATAAGTATAGTTTTAAATATTTACAAAATACTTATAAATAGAATATATAACAAGTAAAATATTTTCAGATCAACAACCATTTATATGTGGCAAGCATGATGTGTCATATTTGTTCCTATAACCTCATGCCATTGCCAAAGGACACTTAATGTATCTCTGAGACTCTAGCTGTTGACATATCTGCAGTCTTTGACCCCTTGGGAATGGGGAAGGGCTGGGATTCTGCAAAAAGGATCGAAACTGTTCTAAACAATGAAGCTGCTCAGCTGGACAAACTATGTGAAGATTTGTATATTACAGCTGTTGTTTTTTGTTTTTGACTTTTTTAAGTGGTTTGTGGTGGTGCAACATTTAGCACTGTCATCTCAAAGTGAGAAGGCCCTGGGTTCTGTGTGGAATTTGCTCGTTTGCCCCCGTGGCTCACAGATACTGCAGGTCAGAGTAATGGAAGTTGGGTTAATTGGTCATTCTAAATTGGCGATAGGAGTGTGGTCACACCATGGCAGGGATCGACAGCGTCTGCCACTGTCAGTTGATGATATTGGCCAAGTAATCTATCAGTTGGGCTTAACTTATGATACAAGCTAAACAAAGCCTTTGTTGTTCACTAACCTAGGATTATAATTCCAAGCAAATTTAACAAATGGTATGCTCAGTAGCTTTTAGGTTTTGGTGGTTAGTTATAAGAAGCTTGAAACCAAATATGCTGGCTGGTAAGTCATCAAAAATGCAGTCTGCCAGTGAGTGTTTTATTTTGAAAGGCAGGGAAGGAAGTTGTGTTAAATACACAGCTCTGCTGCAAGCACTGAGCTGTTGCACTTTTATTCTGTTAACAAAAGACCACCCAACAGACTGGAAAAATAGATACTTAAATGGCCACTCATTGTATTCACTAATTAGAAAGAGTATGTAAACAACTATTTTGGAGGTTTAAACTGGTTAAAATTTCTGACCTTAAACAGGTTCCTTGACTTCACCATATTTAGTTGTGCCTAATTCAATCAGTGCATGTATGCAATAATAACCTTAAACTCAAATATAAGCCCCTCCTATCGATCAAACGACCAGGATCTAATTATTTATTGCCAGGAAGGAACATTTACACATTTCCTAAAAATAAAATTACCCTTTGCCTCTGCAGTGGTTTACTACAAACTACAGAACACCCAGCTTGTTTTGTTTTTTGTTTGTTTGTTTTAACCCCCTGCATTACTGTTTATAACTGAGCAGTGGCCAAAACATAATGGTCACATTCATACTGCATCATTTTATGGTAGATTACAAAAGGGTACTGTGTATGGCTGTTGACCACGGACATCTGCTTCTTTTGAAACGGCCCTGGATTATTTGGCCAGAAAGAAACGCTCTGGAAGGCGTGCTGTCAGAGTCAATTTGCCCCAAATCCAAACAGCAAATGTCTGTCCCTTCTTACTCCCTCAAAATTTTACACGTCTGCGCTGGCAGGCAGCCCCCGCATACAGCTGTGTGAGTGTGTGTGTGTGTGTGTGTGTGCGTGCAGCTTGAGAAAGAGTTTGTGTTTTTATCAGAAAGACATAGAACAGCTTTGACTCCAAGATGCCTTATTTGTGTGTGCGCGTTTGTGTGCTTCGTAAAGATCCAGGCCTCAATTTCAACTGGCAGACGTGACAGTCTGTTTTTGTGAGTTGATGAATGGGTTTATGTGCACGTCCCTCAAAATCTGACGCTATTGTGTGGCTTCAGGATAAACACCAATAATCAAAATAGAACTCTGTTGGGACCTTTAAATCATTCCCTTTGTTAAAACGGGGTAAATAAATCTTTCTTTTTGGAATTGGTGGTATTTGTTTCTATCAAGTAGTGCAAATAAGAATTGACAAACACCTTGTTGATCTTGTCATAAATCTTTTACCTCATGTAATTAACATGTGCCTTCTGCCACTTTTTATTTACAAGCCAGATCCGCCCCTGGTATAAACGTTTTGTTTTCGGAATCTTTGGAGAAAAATGGATTGAGCCAGATGTTACTTTATTCATCCTGTTGTGATTGAGTACGTGTTTCCAAGGACCATTGTCTCAACATCTTGCATTCAGTGATTTAGCACAGTATCATTTCCCACAAATTATGGGAACCCTAAATTCCTCAGTAAGAAGGGTGTGTGTAGCTGGGACTCAATAAATGCAAATTTATTGTCTCTTTGTTTACTGTGACTTTTTTTCTCTGAATTGGAGTCAAATTTGTGCTCACACAGCATGCAGTTATTTGTGTGGAAACCCATTTAGCTGTTTGCTGAAGCTCGAATTATTTGTCTTAGAGTCACAAAAGATATATGGTACTGTAACCAGTTCCAGTTTAAAGTTTCAGTACTTACTGTTTTGAACACTGGGTCTTACTCAGTAGCACGTATACTAAGACGGATATGCATGCAGGAAAGATAAGATGAAAGCATAGGCCATCACAGCCTTGTAGTTGACAGTACAAAGTCCCACCTCGCTGTGGCCTGTGTTAGTTTATCTTCTGTCACCCTTCGTGTTTTCTGGGAATTGACATTGAATCCATCTCAGCTGATGAGATTATGATCTTTTATCCTTGCTTATGTGTTGGGGCCGTCCTTGAGTGAGGAGAGGGGATGAAAGGGGCCCCAGCCACTTTGTGATAGCCTCCAGGACTGATATTATCTTCTCCACCCTTTTAGATGTTCACAAATAGTGACGAGGCAGTCATCAATAAGAAGTTGCCTAAAGAGCTGTTGCTAAGGTGAGTGACGTTTTGATGCACTTTAACTTACTTGCAGTTTTTTTTTTTTTTTTTTATTGTTTGTTTTTTGAGGAAAGCAAAATTTGCATGTTGAAATTTCCACAGTCACATTCATGACTTTACTACGGCACAAAATCATACTCAAAGGCAGCACCTCCATCCTCTGTGTGTTACCCTAACACACGCAAATATTGTGTGTCTCACAATCATATCGTTTATGTTCACTTGCCCTTTTTAAACAAAGATTCCAAACACTAGGATGCCAATTTCTCTTGGCTCTACACACCCACTGCTCAACCAGTGCTAAAAGCATAATTACAAACAGGTGCTCGTGGTTATAAAACTTTTAAATTGATTTGAGAGAAAAAAAAGGGGGGGGGGGTGCTCACAAGCCTCTTAGCAAACAGCAAATGAAGGCCATAACTCAAACCTCGGCCTTGCCAGCCAAGCTGTCTGTGTTGCGGCTGCTGACTCTGTGCTGCTTGGCCTGGTGCAGTGCTGTGATTTGTGAGGCTGGCAGACTGCTGCAACTCACTGCATCCCTGCTTCAACCCCAATTCAGTTTTTTGCTGCATTGTAGGATCCTCTAATCGGTATCCAACTATATTCCTTAGAAAGAAATGCTTTCCCCGTCAGGACCTCACTTTAAGAAAACATATCTGTTCTGCAAGCAGGGAAATGTATTTTGATGACAGTAAAAGCAATATTAGCTGATTTAGTAAACACCACTCTGCTGTTAGGGGAAGCACACACAGGGTTGCGTTGAGGGCAGTAAAGAGGAAGCTTCTGGCAGCGGGGATCATGGTCTCTAAACCGTCCCTGTCTGTCTTCTAGAATCTTCTCCTTTCTGGATGTGGTGACACTCTGTCGCTGTGCCCAGGTCTCACGGGTGAGTCTGTTCACAAGGTGTGCGTGTGTGGTTTCAGTTATAGTATGTGTTCTGCGTGTGCATGCTAAATAACTCAGAATTTCTGTCCACTCCCCTCCGCTCCCTGCTTTTAGTCCTGGAATGTTCTGGCCTTGGATGGCAGCAACTGGCAACGAATCGACCTCTTTGACTTTCAGAGGGACATTGAAGTTGGTTCATTTCATTATATCTTATTACTAACAGATGCGATCATAAATGTTTGCAACTCCAAATATTAAAAACGAAATCATGCTTCAAATTTGACCCATCTGCCCTTCATGGTAGTCTTCTTACGCAGAACTTTGAGCCGTTTGAGCCTATCCCAGTATCAACATAGTTTTAATTGTGAAGAAGATGATGAAGTCAGAGACTAATTTGATGAGCAGGATGGTTTGTGGGTGAAAACTGTTTGGGTATGGTGTAAAACTGAATTTTTAGTACCACAGTTTAGGTTATTTCAGTCATATGTCCTCCATAGAACAGCTCTGGGGAATAGTAGAACTCCACTTTGACAGTCTAACCCTGCAAGATGAATTCTCAACCCCATCAATGTGTAAAAAATAATAAATAAATAATGACCAGTATGCTCCTGGTTGTACTCCCCTTATAAGCAGCCATGGTCTGTGAGTCACAGAACAATTTCTAACCACCAGAACACATTAATGCTGTGTCAGTTTTGAGATCCACAGAGAAATCGCAGATATGCGGTTTATGCGAACGTGACCTGCGATGAACTCTAAGAGTCCAATGTAAAAATGGCTGGGAGGCTTTCTAGTGCAAGAGGAGTTGATCTTGAAGAGTAAATGAGCCAAATGTAAACCATGTGTGTCATCTTTGTTTGTTTTAGGTGGAGTCTGTGAACTTTATGATCGCAGCTTATATGTCACTTTATACTCGGTACTTTAAAGGTGCTGTAGAAACAAATACAGCAGAAAGAGTATGTTTCTTTTTGTTGCAGGGTCGAGTGGTGGAGAATATTTCAAAGCGATGTGGGGGATTCCTTAGGAAGCTGAGCCTGCGGGGTTGCCTGGGTGTGGGTGACAGTGCCCTGAGGTGAGTTTAGTGAGGACCTCGCCTAATTGAAATTCTCATACTAGTTCAGACCCTGAGGGGAGATAATGAGAGAAGTGCAGAATGACTGATATCACACAAATGTTTCTTTTTCTCTTTCTCTCTCTCTCTCTTTAGGACTTTCTCACAGAACTGCAGGAACATTGAGGTGCTTAATCTGAACGGTTGCACCAAGATCACAGACAGGTATAGTAACAGTCCATGCAGCAGTGCGGTTAATGTATCTAACATATCATAATACACTTTTTATCACTGTATTGTTCTTCTGCAGCACGTGTAATAGCCTCAGTAAGTTTTGTCCAAAGCTAAAGCACCTGGACCTCGCCTCGTGTACCTCCATCACCAACCTTTCACTCAAAGCGCTCAGGTATGGCCAGTTGTTATTTTGATATGCTGTTTTCCCACTAATTTTAATGCACATATATCAAAGTGAACCTGTTATGTCTGTTCTTTTTTTGTCCCTCTCAAACATAATGTTACAGTGGTGAATACCTTCTATTAAACATGACCATTTAGCTGAGTTCCAGAATAAATATATGAAGCCGGAAATTAGCTTAATAAGTCCCCTTCAATCCTATGTACTACTTGTTGGCTGTGATTCATTTTTTCTTTTTAAACCTACACAAGTCACAGAAGAGATACGAATAATGTGAGAAGATTTCAATTTTGTTATGCATTTAACATTTCCCCTAATTGTCATTGCACCTTTCATCCTTTGCAAGTTTCCGCTGCTCACCCTTTTCTTTGTTCTATTCTCAGTGAGGGTTGTCCTTTGCTGGAGCAGCTGAACATTTCCTGGTGTGATCAAGTCACGAAGGATGGCATCCAGGCCCTGGTGCGCTCCTGCCCTGGTCTCAAATGTCTTTTCCTCAAGGGCTGCACCCAGGTACACACGTGATTATGTTATAATAAGTTGCTGGCAATTTCATTCTGTGTAACATTTTATTGAACACATTGGGGCGACCGTGGCTCAGGGGGTTGGGAATCGCATCTGTAACCGGAAGGTCGCCGGTTCGATCCCTGGGCTCTCTGTCCTGGTCGTTGTGTCCTTGGGCAAGACACTTTACCCTACTTGCCTACTGGTGATGGCCAGAGGGGCCGATGGCGCGATATGGCAGCCTCGCTTCTGTCAGTCTGCCCCAGGGCAGCTGTGGCTACAACTGTAGCTTGCCTCCACCAGTGTATGAATGTGAGAGTGAATGAATAGTGGTATTGTAAAGCGCTTTGGGTGCCTTGAAAAGCGCTATATAAATCCAATCCATTATTATTATAAAACTTTTTTTATAAGTCAAAGTAGTGACTTCTTAGGTGCTCTGTTTTCTATCAGTCAACACTGTAGTGAATAGGGTCCACTTTAATCTTAGACTTTTTGTCATCTTCACTTTCACTAGTTCTTCTTATTTATTGCAAGAAAAAGTGGCAGCTGCACACATAAAAGAAAAATTTTCCCATGCAACAAAGTATACCATCAGGGACAGACATTGGATTAAAAAAACAACAACAAAAAACCCAATAAATAAATAAAAAGAACAGTCTGCGCTGATTTAGACTTTTTCTCTTATTAAATTCCTTATTGAGATATCAGTTTTCTTTCCCAATGCTTCCCAATCTTTTCCACAGCTAGAAGACGAGGCCCTAAAGCATATCGGAGCTCACTGTCCGGAATTGGTCACATTGAACTTGCAGACATGCTCAGTAAGTACATTTAACAAGAGTAGAAGAAACACAGAACACGGACATCCAGACCCTAAAGCCTGCTCACACAATCCAGTTAGTCCCCTCTGCATCTCTTTCTCCTCTCATATCTCGTCTTTGATTTTTGTCACCGTTTCACTATAGCTTTCTTTTTGTTTTCTTTTTCTAAGCAAGCTTTCTTTTACCTGTTCTTAACATGTATCTTATGAGTTTTCTAAAACAATATAATAAAAAACTAAAATGTGTTACTTTTAATAATTTTACAACAATATCGACAGTAGTAGAAAGACACCATATCAATTGTTAAAACTAATTTTTAAAAATGTATGCTCTTTATGAATTTGATTAAATATTTCTTGACGGTTGTGGTGGGTAAATGCTCAAATGGAAAAGAGGGTAATTAAAAATAAAAACAGAACTAGGTTAAATACAAACTGTTTGTATTTAACCTAGTAAATAAAGAGCATCCCAGAGAAAGTGATGCTTTCATATTAATATGAAGTTGACACTTTGATATTATTCTGTTTTTCGTTATAGTTTGTATAACTGATTTTGGACACAGGGTTGTACACTGTTTGCTTTTGCACATCTACCAGAGAGCACAACACAGAGAAGTTTTGCCTGGCATGTTTTTACATTTCACAGTGGATGTTGATTTGATTCACTTCCCTCATACACAAACACGTACTGTGTCTTTCTGTGAGCAGCAGATCACAGATGAGGGGCTCATCACAATTTGCCGGGGTTGTCACCGCCTGCAGTCTCTGTGTGTGTCAGGTTGTGGCAACATCACAGATGCCATCTTGCATGCTCTGGGACAGAACTGCCCCCGCCTCAGGTGACGTCACACACCTACACATCAAACTTTGTTCTGAGTTTTGCGAGAAACTGCAAAATATTTAATTTGTTTTACATAAAAATCCAACTAATCTTTGTTTCAAGAGTGTTTGTCCTGGCCGCCTGATGTTCGGGAGACTGTTCGTACGCTTTCAAATTCCAAAAAGAAAGACCTGAATTCTCATTTTAAGCTTAAAGATTGCAGGATTGAGGTAATGGAATGGAAATAAAAGCTATTACACTGACCCGTCTGCAGTACAGATATCTTGAGGCCTGTGACTGTAGAGCCAGTTACCTTTTTAAGTGTGAAAGAACTCAAAATTTTGGACTCTAAGTGATCCTTCAACTGTGTAACTCTTCATTGTGTTCCTCCTTTTAGAATATTAGAAGTGGCTCGCTGCTCTCAGCTTACAGACGTGGGCTTCACTACATTAGCAAGGGTGAGTGTGGTGTCTGCCTCTTGGTTGCATTGCAGATAAATGGCAAGCAGAACTTTGGATCCAACAAAATCCTTTAAAATGCATAAATCCATAGTGCATAGTGATTATGCAATCTTTTTTCTTCTCTGTTATTTCTCTCTATAGAATTGTCACGAGCTTGAGAAGATGGATTTAGAAGAATGTGTGCAGGTAAATAAACAATATGGTATATAATGGTTGAACTGTTTTCTCCTTTTCTTCACTTAAGCGAATTGTGTTTCTTTCACTTTTGCATCAGATCACAGATGGAACACTCATCCAGTTATCTATCCACTGCCCCCGTTTGCAAGTCCTGGTAAGTGTGTGCTTGCCACTCAAACATATTTTGCTCCTGCAGCATTTTCAAGCATAATGTCATGGCTGTTTTCATAGACAGTTTAGTAATAGAGCATCTGTATTGGTACCACAATGTTCCTGCAGAGTCTGTCCCACTGTGAGCTGATTACTGATGATGGCATCAGACACCTCGGCAGCGGCCCCTGTGCTCACGACCGTCTGGAGGTGATAGAGCTGGACAACTGCCCCCTGATCACAGATGCCTCACTGGAGCACCTGAAGAGTTGCCATAGTCTGGATCGCATCGAGCTCTATGACTGCCAGCAGATCACTCGCGCCGGTATTAAGAGACTAAGGGTGAGTTGTGTGGGCTGCGAGTAATGAGTAAGTGCTTGTTCAGTTGCAGAATGTATGGTAAACACAAATTGTACTGCTGATGTAAATGTATTCAATTTCTTTTTGACTGAATAAATCTTACCACACTTGTGAAAAACACAATTTTCATAGGACTGTAAGCAGCCCTGTGGGGAAAAAACCCTAAATACATCCTTACTGCTTCTTCTTGAGTAAGTAGCAGCCGGGTGTTGCGAGTCAAATGCACTTGTTTAACTGATCATCAGCAAATGTGACCCCCACTATGAAAGCAGATGTTTCATAGTAGAGTTCATAGTGATGTTTCATGGTATTTCCAGGAGTGGACGTTCCAGTCAATTTTCACTAAGATGACACGATGCAAAGAAAACCCAAGCACTAGATTTCAGACACTGCAGGTCTCAGTAAGCATTTTCAATGTTCATGACAGGACAATTGGGCAGAAATAAAAAAACACTAAACAGACATGGCTTGTTTGGAAGGTTTGCCAGTAGAAAGCCTTTTCTCTCTAAAAATAGGCAGCACGGCTTAGGTTTGCAGATTTGCGTCTGAATAAATCACAAGGCATCTGGAAGAATTTCAGATAAGATCAGCGTGAGCATGTATGGTGGAAACAAAGTACTGCATATTAGCAGTATGTAACTTTTAAACATTTTGCAGCCACAGGATCTGGACACCTTGCAACCATTGAGTTGACCATGAACTCCTCTGTATACCAACATATTCTAGAGTCAAATGTGAGGCCATCTGTCCAAAAGCTAACTCTGAGCTGAAACTGGGTCATGCAGCAGGACAATGATCCCAAGCACAGCAGCATGTCTACAACAAAATGACTGAAAAAGAAAAGAATCATGGTGTTGCAAAGGCACAGCCAAAGTCCAGACGTAAACCTGACTGAAATGCTCTGGCCGTACTTTAAGCGAGCTGTGCATAAAAAAGGCAGTGTTGTAAAGAAGGGTGCGACGTTCCTCCTCCAACATTCAAATCAAATCACTTTATTGTCACATCACATGTGCAGGTACATTGGTACAGCACATGCGAGTGAAATTCTTGTGTGCGAGCTTCACAAGCAACAGAGTTGTGCAAAATACAATAACATAAACAGGCAAAATATACGAATGGCTAAATCTGAAACTAATAAATATATGTACAATATATAATAGTATATGCAAAAAAAATAATAATAATTTCTGGGTGTGTATACTAAATGTTTTTCTACGTGTGTGTGTGTGTGTGTGTGTGTGTGTGTGTGTGTGTGTATACACATATTTTACAAATTAAATAGAGTCAATAAATAAAATATATAAAAATATACAGAGTGAGACATGTGCAAAACAGTGGCATTACTGTATAGTATGGAGTGCATAATGTTGAAGTTCCAGTAGTGGAGGTGAGGTGTCTATGACGTGTTCAGCAGTCTGATGGCCTGATGGAAAAAGCTGTCTCTCAGTCTGGACTTGATTCTCCCGACATTGTCCAGAGTTCTTGTGTGAAACCACTATGGATGTTTAGTTGTTTACCTTTGTAAACAATGCTGCGTAGCAAGAGCACAAACACTACCACAAAGGTATTGCATTCTTAGAGTTGCTTTGTCAGTCAAGCCATTTGTCCTTTTACAGAAGAATGCTGAAAATGCAAACTACTATCACTATTGATGTAGGAGGTTAGACTGGTGCTCTCTAACCTTTCCTCCTCATCAGCATGATCACGAAGTATAGATGTAATGCAGAGGGTGGAATCAGACAACACAGATTCATGCATTTTGTCCAAATGAAACTCTGAGTCATCGATCCACCCACATGAAGTGATGAATCAAAACTTAAGCTGTGAAAAACAAACTGTCTCCTTGACAGCAGTGAGTGAACACTCTGTCCAGATCAAGTCAGACTTCACTGAATCCTATGTTAGTCTTTGAATTTGAATGAAAATCAGACATAGCCTGACTGTGTCGACAGCAGTTTGACATTGTTTTTGATTACTGAAACAAAAATAAACTTGAGGTTTGCAGCAAAGCTATAGCTACTGATGTACTAAATGTCCCAGAACAGCTTTCCACATATTTGTACGAGCGATTAATACATTTCCATCTGTTTCTCTCTCGTTTGTGTTTTTTTTTTTTTTTTACTACAGACTCATCTGCCTAACATCAAAGTGCATGCGTACTTCGCTCCTGTCACTCCACCCCCCTCAGTCGGGGGCAGCCGTCAGAGGTTTTGCCGCTGCTGTGTCCTGCTATGATGTAAAGCGAACAGCCCCCTCTTCCCTCTCGCTGTGTCCCTCGTACATGCTCCCTGCAGCCAGTCACTTGACCCCTGACCTGCTCCCCCCCAACCACTCCTGGCCCCTTGTCACAGACTACATGCTGGTGTGTCCCCCTTTTGGAGCTGCAGAGAGAGGGAGAGAGCCAAACAACACTACAGGGTCTTGGGTAACTTTCCCCAAAACGTTCTTAAATCTTACCACTGCACACAAACAGAACATATACAATAGGCTTTAATACAAGCTCAAATGAAGAGACACATTTACACAGATTAACTTTTGGAGGACATTCGTTGGCTGCGTTCAGTGGACACACCAGTATTACAAAGAAGTTTTATGTTTTAAAAAATGTTATCACGATTAAGGGATTTAACTCGTCATCAAATGAAGTACAACAAAAAATCCTAACGAATGAGTCCATCTTTCAAACGGAAAACCATTACAGCTTTTTACTTATCAAGCACTTTGAGCTTTTAATCATGGCTGAAAGATCCCACTCAAACTCCCAAACACAATTCCCATAGTGTTTAAAGGTCAACTCAACAGCTACCTCTAGACGGGAACTGCACTTGAGTGCGACCAGTGTTCGCTTGGTTCTACAGGCTGTTTATTTCAAAAGAGGGGCAGCGATGTAGCCACCTAACTGCCAACATCCCCACAAGAATGCAGCAGAAACTTTGATTTTTTTAATGTTATTTTATTAAGAATACTTGCAGCTATTTGCACTTACAATAAAGCAATGATGAGACACTTTGCAAAACCGGCATCTCAAAATTGAAGACTACTAACAACTAACAACACACACACACATAAATAAAAAAAATCCTCAATTAACGCATACACTGCGCTTGCAGCGAATATGCCCTCACCTCTCTCTGTCTCTCTGTTACAATCAGAAGCTTCAATATAGTGCAGAGGAAAAATAAAAAAGAAGACAAAGTTTAATATTTTTCTAAAAATGGACAATTAAGGCTTACAAGTGGGGACTTGAGAAGATGCCAAATGTTGCATGTAACACCTCTAGTTTTTTAAAATCTCAATGTAAATATGTGAGGACTGCGGGAGTCAGAGAGTTGAAGCCAGATAAACAGCAACATGATGATATGAGACGGGGCAGAAATTACCGTCGATGAGTCTTTCTGAGGAGTCTCGAGCATGCTTGTTTACGTGCAGATGTGCGTGAGAATATGTGCTGGAGCTTTTGGAGAGTAAAAAAAAACAGACCCAGTACTCGATATGGAGTGAGACAAACTGATGCTGGCATGTGAAGGCTCATGTCAACAAAAGAAGACGTTAAAAAGATACTTTTTTTTTTTTTTTCTCTTTTGTCAATAAAAAAGGTCTGACCGCATTAATTCATGGTGTCAGACCAGGACAATGGAAAGAAAAAGCCAACTGAAAACAATCAAAGTAAAGCTATTTTCAGTTAGTTTGATTTCATTAAGTCAAGCTTGTTTTCGAGTCCTTGATGGTTCCAATGACGAGGAACTGGTGAACCCCACGCAGTGGCGGAAGGATGTGCTTGATGTTGGAGTGGCATCTGCGACTCCTCAACTTCTATGAGGCCTTGCAGGGGACGGAGTGATAGTGTGCTGCACCCTGCCACCTGTGACCTCCTCCGTCTGTCTGGGACCAGTGATGCTGCAGGAGGTTACAACCAGATCAGACTGGTGGAGGAAGTTGACTGAATCTTGAGCGCACAGCTCTGGCCTGCTGACAGATATGATGGAATGATTTTTGTCACAAAAGAGGGCTATAATGGACTTCAGCCCCCTCCCCTGCCCTTTAAAGTATTGGCGCCTTTTCTTATGGATTATCTTGTCCTACACTTGCACCGGCTTCATTCATTATCTCCTGTTCCCTTTTCATTTTATAAATGTGTCTTTTACTGCTTTCTCCTCTACACGATTTTCCTCTGGAGCTTTCTTTGTTTTTCTGTTTTGCTGTGGTTTGGATTCTGCCTGTTTGTGTTTGAAGTCACAAGTTCAGTGTCTCCAAGTTGAGTTTGAGCCCTCTTCCAGTCCTTAGTTTTGATCTGATGGAGTTTGTTTTTATCCAGAGTTTATTGTTAATGTCCAGAGTGTAGTCTTTGTCCAGGAGAAGTGTTCGCACCAGTGCAATTGTTTGAAATGTTAAATGTGAGTCAGATTTTTTTTTTTTTTTTTTTTTTAATCTAGGGCTAACGGTCACAACGGTATGTATGACGTACGGTCTGCTTATTGAATGTTTCCATCAAGGAGAAGGACGGAAAGATTTTCTTTTCCCCCCCCGTTAAGTGTGCTTTTCTCTTCATTTTTATGCCTTGCTGTTCCAAATGAGATCTGTCCCATAATGCACCTATCCAAATGCTTCAATACAACAAAAACAGGAAAACTCACTGCAAAATTTTGATTACCTGCAAATGCCCCTGTGCTTTGGTTTTGATGTGCTCAGCAACAGGCATCTATCACGCAAAACGCAGAGTGATGATTCTGTTCGGTGTGTCTGCGTGCGTGCGATTTGACAGCTATGACAAGCAGGATAATACAAGCCGAGATGAATCCAGTGTAATCCAGTCTGATCTGTTTTGTTTGAATGGGGTTTATGGGGGATTAGAGAAGAACCAAGAGTCAAAATGGTGGAGTAATGTAATGCACTCTGTCACTGTGCTCTGGTTTTAAGACTGTTAACTCAAGGAAAAAGAAAGTCAGGGAATCTAGTCTGTGAGCTGGGATGTCAAATCTGCTTGTCCTCGTCGTGCAGATGTTAAGTCATAAACGCATGTCGACAACACGGACTACAACTAATAGTACTCAATTTGCTCCTGAAGGATTTATATATGTACAAAAGAAATGACTTGTCATCTGTTTTTTTGTTTGTTTTTTTCCTTCTTTTTTCATGGTACAGAAATACACTACAGGCTCTACACAGCAAAACACCAGACTTATTTTCCCTTACAGTAACAAAACACCTTTGTGTGTGCGTGTGTCAGATCTTCCACCAGTTTACACAGAAGTCGAGCTGTTACGCTCTGGGTCCGTTTGTTTGATCCTAAACACTGGAGTAAGGTTGTGGATAAGGACAGAGGCAGAGGGCAACAGGTGAACTTACATGTGTGTGTTCAGGGTAGATTGGCACCTGAGATATTTAAACAAAAAAAAGTTTTGACAATGACTGTAGTTAAATTACTGTAAATCTCTTTTTTCTTTTTTTTTTCTTTTTTTACAATTAACCGATTATAAATGAATATGTACGTATGAATAAATATATACCTATATTATTAAGAGTTGTTTGCACCTTGTTCTCACTTTGTGGTTAATGGTGGTTTATCATCGCAGCAGTAGATGGCAGCAATGAGCCACTCTCCTCTCTGCTGCTATGATTTCAGCTCTCAGCTTATTTCAGGATCCAGTTCTGAATCAATTATTCAATAAGTAATTGACTTGCTTCAGTTAGGAAAAAACTGTTTAAACTAGAAGCCCCAGACTGGAATATATAATTATTATTAATATAATTTTTTTTTAATTCTTTTTTTTTTTTTTTAGCTACGTGTCAAATGGAAATAAATGTGGCTGTCGTAAAGGAAAAATACAGGTGGTATTGATTTCAATCATAATGGAAAACAAAAACCCTGAAACTGAAATAAAATGAATCCTCCTCTGATTTTTAAATATCTACCAATACCCCTGCACTCCTAACATGACGTGCCCTAAAGTCTCTTCCAAACATGGAAAAGCCTTACAGCAAAAAGCAAACATTTGAAATATGAACAATACTTTTTCGTGTTTAGCATAGCATTAATGCATGTCTAAATTTATTTCTTGATTTCCTGTAATGTTAGTGTGACTAGAGATGAATCCAAAGACATAAGTTCTTCCTGTATGCCTTAATTAATTTGTCAGGTATTCATATATACATGTAACTCCTCAGGCTGTCTACATGTCTACAATAACATTTCTACAATATATTTAAAAAAAAAAACAGTTATCTGAAGACTCAGGTCAGGCTACCAGAGCCTTAAAGTCAGTGACAGACTTTAAAAAGGTCTGATTGTATCCTTTATTCTAGATCGAGCTTATTATAAAAGTATTTTAATCACAAATGCAGATAAGCAGTTGGGTATAGTGAAAAACATTGTCACATTGGTGACTGTGGGTTCAAATGTGAGCTCACAACATACTGCATGCAAAGTCATGCAGCTATGTTTGTTTGTACTTACATTCAGATGTCTGAGGTGGAGGAGCAGATGAACAATCTGTATCAATTTAATGCGATGGAAAGAGCTGCAGCCCTGGTCCTGTAGCTGCACCATGACGACCGCTGTCAGGACTGGGATCTGTCCTCCGCCGCATGGGACTCATTTTGTTCCTCTCATCCTCCCATTGTTTCCTCATGTGTCTAAATCAGTAAGAGATCAAATGTGTTTTCACTCCGTTTTAATGTTCATTTTTAGCCGGGGCGTGTTCTGGCACCTGGGGTATCACATGGAGGATGAAAGGTGAGTAGCTTTGAGGGGAAAATTGAAATGAGTGTGTGCGTTTCCCTCATTCAGCTCTCTCAGCTGTTCTGAGTTCAAACATTGTTGGATCAGATCACAGCTCATAGCACAACACTGCACCGAGATATTTAACTTAAGTTTATTTTTAACAGCAGACACTGCTATACACTAGAAAACTGAATGCTTTTTTGTTTTGGGTTTCTCTTTTTTTTTTAAAACTTCCAGCAGTCACTCTGTTGTGTGCTGTTCTCTGGCTCTGAGTGAAGCAATAATGAATGTGATAACAGAGGCTTCCTCTCGTAGCCTTTCTTCTTCCTCCATTCTCTAGCACACCCCCGCCCAAAGACTTTCTGACAGGAAACTTTGATGTCAGCCTTTGGAGAAAAAACGCTTTGCAGACAGAAGAAGAAGGAAAAAAAACTTGAATCAAATTTAGAAGTCCTTCTCCATGCCACTCTGTTAATATTAGCATTGAACTCCTTTTGAAATGCCATTATTATTTAACCCACCCTGTCTGTCACCTGTGTGTTTTATAAAGGAGAGAAGCAATAGGAACTTGTCCCAGAACGCTGATTAAACCAGGTAGGAAATGAGATTGCATTTAAAAGCAGGTAGCAATACTGATGCCACTTTAAATTAAGCTTTAATTCTGTGGGCAGCAGCTGGTAGCCACACTTTCAGTATTCACTGCTGTAGGGTGCAGGCAGAAAATGAAGAGGAATGGATGATAACAGAACAAAATTGTCTCAATATAGTTTCTCTAAAACTCCGAATAATTCTAACACAGCTCAGCCTATACTCATTGCTCTTCTTCTGAAGAGGAAGATGCCTGCTCTGATTCACTGCTTAATCAAGCAGCAGAAGGCTCTCTAGCGTCTTGTGGCTTCTTAATTCCTTTTTGCATGTCTATCTAATGTATAGCCTTAAAATCACAATATATTTTTAAAAGATATCCGTGTCTGTGAGTTACTGTATGTAATCACACTTACTATTTGTAACTACGCGTCTATGGCTGCACCATGGAGGCGCATAGAATTAAACAGCAGCTCTGACACACACACACACACACTCAAGACGCAAAATCCGAGCAGCAGAATGAAGTGCTGCTCTTGCTTTTACTCCAGAACAGAGAAAATTTTAAGCTAATGTATATTTGGGTTTTGAATAAGCTTCCGCCCGTGGCCGTCAGTCTTGATTTAGACTAAATGAATCCCGGTAGAGTTGTAAAAAATAAAAATGCCCCAATCATGCGCCTCAGACGCATGGAAAGGCGTGCCTCAGAATGCGCTTAAATTTAAGTCTGTGCAGCGGTGAAGGACACAGTTCGCTTTGGATTTACACCTAGCGAGTTCCTCCAGAACACAAGCTGATGACGATTTGGATATGATTTTATTTCGCTGACATTCTCATATTCACACAGCGACATTTTTTGCTGATTTGAGTCGTATTTGCACCTGGAGGACGGAGGAATTGTGCCACATTGGAGCTTTCCGGTGCGCGTCAGCGGGCGACACAAAAGACTACCCACACGCAAGGTTCAGCCGTTTCCTGAATACCCATCCTCACGTGGCATAAATGAGATATTAACAGCTGGTGAATTTATAACCTGTTCTCACAGATCCTAATAAACCCAGAAACGTGTTTTGTGGAGTCTGTGGCCCTGAGGCGCGCACAAATCCCTCTGATGTGGATCTGTCACACTTTGTCAGTCTTTTAAATGGCTAAAGCCGGAAATCTTCTTCCGACTGGACTCTATTTGAGGAGTTAAAACTTTTCCTGTTTGTGTCTCGAACGACGCTTCCCACTTCTACACCAATTATGACCGAAAACAATGAGATGGAGTGCGACTCGGAGCTCCAGCGCTCTCCAAGCAATATGCCCATCCAACCAGTGACTTCCAAGGCAAGTACCTAAATTTGGAGTTTGGTTCTTTTTCAGATGCCATACAGATCATAACATACACGTATTTGTGCCTAACGAATCGAAAAAGAACAGTATCAGTAGACATAAGTGAGTGACTTTGCTGAGTAGTTAAATGCACACACTGAACTATTAACAAGAAGACTTATTTTATTCATTTTAAGTGTATTCTTCTCCTTTGATGGTTTTCTCCACCTGCATCTCCACCGTTTATGTAATACTAATAACAACACAATTGCAGTAGTATTCATCACGACTGCGTCACTATAGATGTAACCTCACACGTAAGGTGTGATGTCATACTGTCTCCCCGTGTCTCTCTTTCTGTCAAAATCCATTAGAAGCAGGCGCACACAAAAGGGTTCAAGTGTGTGTTTTTAATGACTATTAGGCAGCAAAACAAACATGTAATAATGGAAGTGTTTAATGCTTTTGTCCATTTGTTATTTTAATTTGCTTCTTTTTTGATGAGCTACAGTTTTTTTGCGGACATTGCAGCACTCACGCTGTATCTTCTATGCTGGTAGCAAGTTTATATTGCAATAAATAAGACGCTGCATTTGCTTATGTGAATTTTGTGTCTGTCATATACACAGCTACTAGTGTGCATGTCTAAGATACAAATGCCCTTTCAGAGTGTCTTTATGAATCCATTTAATTTGTTCACTCAGCTATATAAACAAAGATTTGGGGCTGCCCTCCAAGCTGTGGAAGCTTTCCCGATGTCTGCTTCTTAATGGAAGGACACATAAGATCAACCAGCTTGATACAACTTTCCTTAAGTCAAATCTACCCTATGACTCTTTATGCCACCCACACACAAACACATGCACGCTGCTGACATGTTTGGAGGAAAGTGACACTCCGTGCAGCACAGTCACATACTTCACCAGCCTCAGACTGCCTCTGTGCTTCATCTAAATGTTTGATGTCCTCTTTGAAAGCATACAAGTTGACGTTGTTACAAGCAATTTTAACACCACTTACTCCAGGCGTTCTACTCCAGCTCTCCTCTTCTCACCAGCTGCTACTGGTGAAAACTGGGCGTGAGCCTGTTCCAAGCTGGACTGATTGGTATTCAAATGATTCACCGGTTCGCTCTGGCTTCATCGTGTCACAGCCCTCTATAATAAAAAAACCCCCATCAGTTTGATCATCTGCCTTTGGTCTTTCAATCTATTGAGTTCTCTGTGTGGGATAGATTCAAAATTAACCATCAACCTTTATGCTAGAGGAACTCATCCTTTTGAATGAATTAAATACCTGGCCATTGAAGTGTCAAAGTAAAAATGCAGAGTTTTTGTCAGCTTGGCTCTGGAGGCTGTTCCTCACATAAAAATACACAGCTACAGGGTGACATTTTTGAAGGAATCTAATCAGACACATAGTCATGTGTCCGTGATGGTTTTTATTAGACAACAATGACAGGGAGGAAACGAAAGAGGTAACAGATGCTCCCCAAAATCCACCAGCAGCAAAATCCCACCAAAGATGGATATCGTAAATCAAGAACAGAGGAAAACAGTGCCAGAAGATTATGAGAAGAGGAAGCGCAGTCTCTCTTTCCAGCTCCCAACAATAATCTGTAGTGTATTGCCAAGCCTGGCAGAAATGTGAGTGGTGGAGCCAATTAGATGCCCGAGTAGCAGTCATCAGCCTATAGTGTTGCTCTTTTTGTGCAGAGCAGTTTGATCTCTCTGGGCTGTTGATGCTTTGGGAGCTTTTTATGTGATGGAGGTGCACAGGTAAACATCTTCTCTCCTGGATGAACACACAGGATGATGTCTGAGCGCAGAGATATAAAGGCGTAAACATGTTTTTGGTTGATATACTGGTTTGTCAGCTTGCCCGCTGAGTAATGACAACTCCCACAATCCATCCGTGTGTCCACTTTGCATTCTTCATTAAACCCTCTTAAATGGATGTGAGCGCACAACACACACACATACGCAGCTGACTGAGAGATGAAAGGTGACTGGCATTCCCTACAGTGAAGCTGAACTGTCTCAGTTTCAAAGCTAAGTTACAATTAATCTTAAAGAGCTTACATTCAAATGTATCTTTTTGTAATGGATGGCTTTCTTTTTACGTCGACACATCCAAAAAACTTTTTTTCCCTTTTGGCTATTCAGGAAAAGGCAGTTTAACAAGGCTGAGCTGTATCACCTTGTTTTCACTTTGTCCAAAACATCAACTGGGAACAGACAACCAGGAAGTGTGCTTTAAATAGTAGCCTATTATGTGTTCTTATACTAAAATAGTCTTGATTAAATAGTCTTGGTCTCGATTAAATTACAACCAGTTAGTTGTAATATCAGAGTCGTCAGGATTGTAATTAAAGCAGTATTTAAAACCAAAATAATAATAGAAGAAAGAAAGAAATAGAGCCTCCAGTCTAGCTAGTGGTTGTGTAAAAACTGGTACACTCAAAAAGGTGATGCAAGTGTGCACGTTAAGCACTATTTACTAAATTCAGCAGTGGTACTGAAGCAGCACTAAACAGAAGTGCAGTAGGATCTATTAATGGTGCTACTACATTATTAGTCACCAATTTATCCTGATGGAAAAAATTTAAGTTGTGCCAAATTTCAATCCATAAAAAAACTATTGAGACATTTAACTGAAATTACCACCCAAACCGCAAACTTCATGGTCAGACTAAAAGAAAATGGATTAGGGTTTTTACCCCAGGTGGTAATAAACACCTCTGTAATGTAGATGGTTCTAAGAAAAAGCACCGTCTTTATCGACATCTCTTTTAATTCATTTAAGGATAAAGGAGTGGTTGCTGTGAAGACAGCATCGAAGACATCGAAGACAGCATCGAATGGGAGAGAACATTTCACTGCATCACTTTTGATGGATACAGCAGTCATCATTTGTCATAAAGCAAGCAGGTTTTTATCATGTGCACCTGCTCATGTTCACACAGGCCATAGTCATTACTGCCATTCAGTTGAACTCTTCCTAATCATCTAGCAGGTGCATGATTTCTGGTGTTTTCGCTATATTTCGCATGTACAAACATCTTTAAAGTGACGCTCACACTTGTGGCTTTTTCTTCAGAAGGGGATATGACACAGATCAGATAGATGTGAGCAGGTAAGTAAGTCAAATCAGGAAGCTGAAGTGGGCCAAGGTCGTCTTTAATCAGTGTAACACCTTCACTGCTGTGATGTTTATTAATGTGACACTACAAGGAAAAGTGTGAGATGCTGAAATACTGGACACTAGAAACCTACAGGAGCACAAAAGATACTCCACACTGCTATTCCACAGAGATCATCTCTGCTGTTAAACAGTCCTTGAAAGTGATTGTGTGTGTGTGTGTAAATGATTGACGGTGTGTACATGCATGTGTGATAGTAGCAGAACGTAGGAGGCAGCCTGTGATTATGCATCTTTTCTCATGCACTGAGAGCAGGAATTTGCCAGGATGCCATGCATAATAAGAAATTTCGACCAACCTGAGAAATGTTGGGACATAAAACCACTCCACATGTGCTCCTTGTAATCATAAATACAGCTGCTCGCTCATATTTTTATTCTATGTGATTCTTTTTCCCGCTGTTGTGTTTCACTTTAGTAAAATCTTCGCGTTTGTTCGGTTACAACTGTCGGAGAAGAGTTGAAGCCACACAGTGAAAATAATTATATGCTGAAATCCATGTACCTGGTATTTGATGGTGACAGTTTCCTCTGAAATGACATATTCTGCTGATGACCTAGAATTGGAGGGAGCCAGGAGACTGTGTCTTTCAGAGCGCAGTTATAACTCGGTTATCCTTCTTAAGGCTGAAATATCCTCACTTAGAACAAGGTCAGTCACTATGACGTTCATCATTGCAAAAAAAAAAGAAAAGAAATGTACCTCGTTTTTTATAGCGCAACTAGCTGGAGTGATTAAAGTGGAAATTCAAGGGTAGACAAATTAAAATATTGATTTAAGGTCATATAGACTTGAATACTGGTTTTGACTTAAGGCATGGATCAATTGCAGTAACTGTTTTTTCCAATCTGTGCAGCACGTTCTCTTTACTACTGCTGATGGCAGAGCAGAAAATTGGCACACTTCAGGAGTGATGGGGAAGAAAGGGAATAAGTAAAAAAAAAATAGCCCCCCCACCCTTGCACACCTATAGAGTTTTGACTTATAGTAATCCTACTGGTGTTACATTTCTAAACACTGAAAACATGTGATGCAGGCCCCACTCACCATCTCACCAAATTCCAGAGTGCCTATATTATCCTCATATTCCCAGTGGGACAAAGGCTTTGTTGTTGAGTCTTGACCTCTGGGCAGACTGGAGCATCCCATAAATATCTCAGACTGGCCCCATTAAATTTTGATGGCGGTATTCGAGTGACATAAAAGTCTTATCATTGAATTATGACTAGTCAATCCTCGCTGTTCCGCTGTGGAGAATTGATTTTGTACATTTATGCTGGCAACATGTGAGAAAGGCAGAGGTCTGTTGTAATACGGATCGAAGATGTGAAAATTGTGGGCTTTTACAGGTCTGCTGAGACAGCTCGTCAGTCTGCTTTGCAGCAGTGAGATAGGAGCTGCTCAAAGAAGACTGACTCTGCAGATGTGTGTAAATCTGTGCAATATTTTGCATTTTGCATCACATTATTAGTCATGTATGAGTCACAAAAAACGTTGAGGGAGGAACATTAGCAGGCAAGACTTGATCCAAATGCGTCTTTTTAAGCTGAAACGGGTTGAGTATTACTTGGAGAAGTGCAGTTGGGGAAGAAGTGACAGAAGACTGAGGCAGGTCCCGTTGCAGGTCACAGGGATTTTCATAAAAGGAATAATCAATAAATAATCAGCTATAAATCTGGGACTAAAGTGTGGCATATATCGCTTCTGACTCATCGATATCAGCATCTCACCTCATGTGCGGTGGTGCACATGAATGTGCAGTGAAGCTCCACATCATACTTGATGTCACATCGGCCTTGAGTCAGAAGGATTATTCTTTCAGATAATGTTCAAATGGAAGAAAACGGGAATGCTTTTCAGACCCGCACACTGACAGATGATTAGATTAGCTGTAATTGAGACATGTGCTCTATAGCTGGAGCTGTTATGCCAGCACTCAGCCACTCTGATTGAAAGAGCTCTGCTCAAGGCTGTGATGCTGCACATAAAATATGAAGTCAAAACAACTTTGTACTGTTAACATCATTAAAAATATATTCCACCCCATTATATAGTTTATAAGTCGTAATGTTTCATGAATCATTTTGCTTACATTAGTAAGTCAATATTGAGAAAATATTACCAGGTTGCAAGCATGTGGGTTTTGCTATACCTGCTTCAACACCAAATTTATTTTACCCCTCATTAAAAAAATGAATTACTAATGCAATTCTAAACAGATCATTAGATGTTAATCATTATTTATTTCGTAAGCATAAATTAGATGCTTGTTCATCCTTACATGACAACTTTTTTAACATTTTTAATCTGACTAGAATAAGATCACACGCAACAAAGCAAAAGGCATCTCTGGCTTTAGACCTCTCTGCAATAAATCATTACTTGTTATTAATCTCTGGCTCTCTTCCACACCATGTCTCTTGTCTTGTCTTCCTCCCCTCACCCCAACTGGTCGGGGCAGATGGCCACCTCTGCCTAAGCCTGGTTCTGCCAGAGGTTACTTCCTGTTAACAGGGAGGTTTTCCTTTCCAGTGTCACCAAAGTGGTTGCTCATAGAGGGTGATATGATTGTTGGTTTTTTTTTCCTCTATGTATTATTAGAGGGTCTACTTTACAATATAAATGTAAGCAGCTGAGGCAGCTGATGTTGTGATTTGGCGCTGTATAAATAAAATTGAATTGAATTGAATCTCCCAAACTGAAAGTTTTAAGTCATGCATTAGGATCACTGTGGTGCATAGTTCAGTGAAAGCCAGAAAACACATGGACATATCCAACGCACTAATTGCCTGCATCCAGGCTACCCGCCTGTGAACATGCATCTATAAGCATCATAGAAGGCATGCTGCACATTTCCTGCAGCTAACAACACTTGTGTGTCAAGAAGCTGCCATAAATAGGTGAACGAACACTTGCAGCGATTCAGCTTACAATAAGAAATCCTAAATCCCCAACCAGAAGCTAAGAAATGCAAATCCTGCAAAATGTCCTTGCCCAGATTATATGTATTTAACGAAGCAGTTGGTTACAATGCGGCGTACTTTATTTCAAAGTTCTAAAAAATAAAGATAAGAATAACACCCTTCGGTGCTCAGAGATCTAACAGAGATATAATGAATTGTAGTAGTCCACAGCGTACCTAATCTTCATCAATGTAATCTAATGAAGGGAAATAATTTCACAAATAGAGGAAGCATATGGAGTGTGCAAATGTACATTCAGTTACACTCCTACAGTTTTGTTTCTTTTGCGCTGCATCGATGTGTTCCTCACACACACAGACACACAGTCAAATAGACAAACTGTCTTCATAGCTTATTCCCAGACTCACAGAGCTGTAAACAACATGTCCCTGTTAAGTGATTATGTTTGGTGCTGAGCAGAATGAGCACAGACAGACAGAGCATGTGCGCAGAGTGTATGTAGCCTGCTGATGATCTGTCTCCTCGTCTGTCTGTGTTCATCCGTTCTTTCCTTGCGACGTGACCACACCCTCACACAGCGTTACCCCCTTCCATCGCATGTCATTGTAACAAATGTCTGCCTATCACCTGGGAAACTAGCATCATCAACCGTACATAGAGCTGGAGGCAAATGTCAGGAACCATTCATTTATCCAGTCAATCAATGTTAGGCATTCTGTAGATAACTGATGTGATGCCTGTTGATGTGATGTTTTATCATTTGACTCTTAAGATTTTGAAATGCACTGAACTTAAAGAACTGGTTTGGTTATTACACCTAATGTAACAGTGTTCCTGCAAAAGCTGTTAAAAAGTTAACTGGTAACCGGCCAGAAAAATGATTGGGTATAAAAAGGAGCATCCAGGATGAGTCTCTCAGAAGCAAAGATGGGCAGAGGTTCATGACTCAGGCAAAGGCTGTGTGGGCAGACAAATCCACAAATCCAAGTTAACACTCTACCATACAAAGAATAAATTGTAAATATGATCCAGGAATGCTGCAACCATCTCTGGGGAATTTAAGCTATACTGAGGCAAAAAAAGAAACCTGTCTTCTTGTGTGACCAGTCAAAATGTGATATTCTTTTTGGAAATAAAAGACACTTCTCCAACTTAGTGAGGAGAGGTACCATCCAGCACATATGGTGTTGACAGCACACTATAAAGAACTGAACTCTGTAATTTTCCTGTCTATGCTTTCTGGCGGCCTTTCAAACATGTCTTGGGACATGTTGGTAGTACCTGACCATTTTCATAGGAGTGTTTTTTACTTGTTAAGCCATTTAACACTGAACTATGAATCATTCAAGCACAAACTCAAGGTATGAACCAGTGTTGTCTAGACATAACAGAAAACTTAGCAATGAACTAATTTTAAATTGTATCTTTAGGCACTTTGTTACTATCGGCCTATTACAAAACACAAAACAAGTGTAATTTTATTCCATTTCTTTATTTGAGTCCATGAAAAATGCTAAAAATGACACAGTTTGACAAACATAAAGTTGTATTTTTCTAACAACAAGGTGATTTCCAAACAGCGATTAGCCAAAATTTGAAATATTTCTGCTTCCTGTGTAGATTGTCCTTAAAAAAACCTGAGAAAACATGACAAGAAAAAAAGAAAAAATGTCAGTTCTGAAAGCTTTCTACAGAAGATGAACACAAAGTCCTGAAGAAAGCAAAGACCTGACAGAGTACCTGAGAGATGCATCCAATGCACACTGCCAATGCAGTAAAACTATACTTGGACAGAAAAACAAACATTGGAGCACCACTAGTCATGGATTGGCCTCCCCAGAACCTGGATATTAACATTACTGAAACAGAGTGGGATCATCTTGAGTGAGAATGGAACCAAAGGCAGCCAACATCCAAAGAAGAGCTTCAAACGTCCTTAAAAAAGCCCAGAGAAACATTTCCTGAAAAATACTTAAAGAAATGACAAGAAAACTAGTGTAAGAGAGCTCAGACCATACCACATACTGACTTTCAAGCTTGTTATAATATTAAAGCATCTGGATTTTATCTCTTATACTGCATTGGCATGCATTTTTCATGAATGTTTGCAGATATGAATTGCCACACTTATTTCTCATTTTCCTAATCTTCCTAATCAACTTTCTTTATCTTTTGTAAAAAACTTCAGAAGATCTGTACTGATATGGGTTTCCATTAGCTTCGATGGCATAGGCAACTTGCAGATCTACAGGGGGACCTTGCTGCATATTGATGCTTAATAATACAATATGTACAGGCTTTAAAGCAGCTATTCTTACAGTCCAGACAATGCTCTTTTCAGGGTAGTCCTTGCTTTTTTCATGATGCCAAACTACACGTTGTACATAAAGCACCATTATTCTGTAATAAAAGTCTGGGTGCTGCATAATAACCCTTTACCTGTGTGTATTCACACATGTTGTTGGTGTGTGAGTTGAACCACTTGTGCGCACTGCAACCGTGTGGCCTCTTTAGTGGAGCCGGCGCTCACTTTAAGGGCCCTGGTGATGGGTTGTTGATAGATGATCGGGCTGAATAAACTCTTGTTTCGTTTTATCACAAGAGTCCTTCTGTCACTACCACTAAGCCAGTACAATTTATACACATAAGAAGAAGCTTATCTTGTTCAACCAAAAGCACAAGCACCCCTTTAAAAATATGAATTCGATCTTGCTGAAGGGGACAGGCAGCTCTTTTATTAATGTGTTGTTTCCTTATGAGGTGATATTGCTTTACATGAGTCAACTTCTTTCCCTAAGGTGTACTGATCTGAACAGAGTGTAATGTTTATGGATTCCGGGATATTGTCTGTGCTGTCTTGAGGGCACATTGGACATTTGTTATTGCTTCTTGCTTATCTCGTGTTTATTTTTAATGCATTATCTTTGTCCCTATGTCTGTCGATGTGTGTCCGTGGGTGCAGCTCCAGAGACTAAAACGCTCATTGTCCTTCAAGACCATGATGCGCAGTAAGAGCGTGGAGAACTTCTTCCAAAGGTCCTACAGCGATGCCCGCCTGCCCCAGGATTTCATCACTGACCCGCCGCCTCCGTCCCCCCCTCTGATGCCTGGCTCCCCACTTGTTGGTGACCGGTCACCATCAATTTCACCATCTCGCAGTCCCAACCCCTCCATCTCCTCCCACTCGCCCTCACTCAGCCTTTCTCCATCACTCCCCGCCAAGCCTCCCCGACCCCAGATTACCCACTGTTTCCAGGACCACATCTTTCGAAAGCCCACCAACTGCCAGCATTGCAAGCACATGATAGTAGGTAAGGTGCCTGATATTCTCACTGGACATGGTCTTTGGTGATACACTTACTCATGAAAACTAAAGACTGAAGAGTTTAGATGAAAAACTTTGAATTTTGTGTACAATTATTATTCAGGACCTATGATTTATTACCACTTATGTGATTTTAAATTTCCTGTAAAGATGAGAGAGTTGGTCATATGAACAAGCAAGAAAATTTGGACAAGTAATTGGTCTTACTTCTTTTTTTTCCAAATCTAGTTGGAAGTAGGCAAGTGGGCAAGTGCATCTGGACAATTGTGGAACTTTCCATTCACCATTAAATTTACTTCACTTAAATCCATGCAGACCCTTGCATATTTGAAAGCACAGAGACTATAAATGTGGTGTCAGTCTTCTCATACAGCTCCATATCAGACAGAAAACGAGCATATTTAAGATGCTCAATTACCTCAAGTGGTACAAATAAACAAAATAATAATGATTTCCTGAGAAAAGTGAAGTTTTTAAATCTCACCTCACTGCTTCCTTCTTTTTTCTCTCCTCGATTTAAGTCATTCAATTAGATCTGGACTTTGCTATAGCTCTAGTGCAGATGTGCGCTTTTGTTCACCTCTAAGTGCTACTAGCTTCTAGTATTTCTGCTAAATCTACTTCCTGTCACTGTGACTGATTACAGTCTCCAACCTGCTCCCCCGTGTTTGCTCCTGTGCAGTTTTTTGAAAATTTATTGTTGCATCCTTAGTGGGTTTATTTATGCAACGCATCACTTCGCTCTAGATTTATCTCTGCAGTCCCGAAACAAAGTGTAGCCTCTTTCTCATAAGCTGTTAAACTACTTTTATTTCTCTCTCTAAAACCACTATTTTTCTTGAGCAACCCAATTTATTTGATTGTTGTTTCTGCTCTAATACAGACCTGTCGATATAATCCCCATCTGTGACAAATTCAGAAATCAGTGATCTTTGTTTTCTAGGATAATAAGGACTCAACTCCTTAATCCCTAAAACATGAAAAGAGGATTTCTAAACATATAACAAATGGGAAGAAAACAATTGGAGTCTCAGGAGACTTTAGCTCTCAAACACTTAAAAATACAAACGTAAATGACTCAATGCCAAATCGATTATAATTAAAATATGTCCAGCTGCTTTCCAATCTCTTTAAGTTGTTTTGCAAGAAGAGCTGTTCATTATGAAGCTGTTAGTGTGAGCTCTGGTTGCAGTGCCAGCCTGATAAAACTGGGACAGGGTTTGATTTCATTCTCCACCTGAACAGAGAAAAACCTGCACATATGATGTAAGGGCCACTTTGTTCTGTTAGCACTTTCTGCTGAGTGCACATCTGTCGCCTGCTGATTTTTTTTTTCTTTTTGTGACTGCTTCAATGTCAGTGTCCCCTGCTTTCATTCTCTCTTCTTTATCCCACTCTGCAGGAAACTCCAAACAAGCTCTACGGTGTAAAACGTGCAAGATGGCTGCTCACCTGTGGTGCACCTCAGAACTATCGCAGCAGCCGTGTCATGGGAAGGTGCGAAATACACACACCAAGAGTTTGATGTTGCCCTCATTTATAGCACTGAGAGTTTCTCTCAGCATAGTCACTAACTGCACACTTTGGTCTGCTCAACTCTTTTAAACTGATTCTGTTCCCTGATTTAGCACTCTTCAGTGGAAAGTGATTGTTGCTTTCATGTTTTTCCATTGCACTTCATGCCAGGCTATTGCTATGATAAACCATTTTCTTCTGCGAAATGAATAGGAAACATAAAAAAGTAGCATTGGCTTTGTTTGTGTCTGGATTGCAAGAATAGAATGGCTACTTATTACTTCTCGTGTTCATTTTTGGCAAGAAAGCAAATATTTCAGTGATTCATTGAAATAAACGTGTTAACATACAGCCAAATGACACATCGACATGAGACTCTGGGTAGTCCTGTGGAAAACTAAGTGTACTTAATAAACTGATAATCACCATAAAGCAGTTTAAAAGAAGTCTTGGCAGTTTGCTGGTCTGGAACATTCAGGTGGGTTTAAAACAAAGCTGCAATTTTTCAATGAGTGCAAATCCGGCAAATTCATTCCAAGAGAAATTTTAAAAAATCGAAAAAAACAAACAAACAAGCACTACATCTCAGACTCTACAGGCCTCAGTTAGCACATTAGATTTGTTCAACTCCATGACAGTATAATTAGAAAAAGACTGAACAAGTATGGCTTCTTTGGAAGATTGCCACAATAAAGCCTATTCTCTCTAAAATCAACATGGCAGCGTGGCTTATATTTGATATATTGGATATATCAGAACAAACCCACTATCAAGCATGGTGATGAACAGCTTGTTTTGTAGCCATTGAAGCCACCTGGGCACCTTGCAGTTATTGACTCAACCATGAACTCGCGCGTATATCAGTGTTCCAGAGTCAAACGTGAGGCCACTTGTCTGACTGAAATTAGGTCACGCAACAGAGCAATGATCCCAATGATCCCAAGCACAGCAGCAAATCTACAACAGAAATGCTGAAAAAGAAAAGAATGAAAGCATTCCAGTGGCCCATTCACAGCCCAGACCTTAAGGGAACCATAAGAAAGCTGTGCGCAAACAAATGCCCGCAAACCTCAATGAACTGAAGCAACACTGTAAAGAAGAGTGAGACAAAATTCTCCACATGGATGCGAGATACTAATAGAGTCATACGGAAAACAATTACTTCAAGTTATTGCTGCTTAAGGTGGTTCCACAAGCAATTGAATCATGGGCTCTACTTAGTTTTTCACAGGCCTGCATAGAGGCCCAGAGGGGCAATGAAACAACCTCCATATATGCAGTTTATTGCATCTCCTCATTGCTCTTAATCAAAGCAGGAGAGTGCAAAGCTAGAGTGATCCGTAGGACTACAAGAGTCCCGTTAACTGGAAATATGCAAGGTGTTCATGCTGTGGACCTCATTAACATAGAAGACATTTAGGGAAGGCCTTATTTTTCGAGTCATGTTGCAACGTACTCACACATTTGCAACAAAGAAGTGACTAAATGTGGAAATTGTTAAGAGGTTGACATTTTATTTTCTGATTTGTTATCTGATGTTCAGTTTCACAACTCCAATCATTGTTTTGTCATATTACCAACACACTTTGGATTACAAGCATGAATTGAAAACCTGACCACAAAACCCTGTGCACTCTGCAATTAATTTAATTTTTTTAATAGAATAGCTTTAGGTACAGCGTTAATGGGAAAGAAAGAAAAAACCCCCACAGATGAATCAGTATTGTATCACATCAAACACATTTAGGTTATTACATCAACACACAGACTCACACGTATAAACACTGAAACACTCTTGACCTGCAGGCAGTCATTTTTGCTCACCATATGTGCAGTTTCAGTTAAATTGCTGAAAAAACACAGATGCATATGGCAGAAGGAAAAGTGCTGTTTTGAAGCTGTGAAGTGCTGATGCTACTGAAATAAAACAATTAATCATTGCACCATCCTTTTAGGTCCATCATTAGCAATGTTTAATTTTCTTTACTACTGCTTACATAAAGAGTATTTCGCACACTTGCGGCGTAACGGTTAGATGTTACAATTTGGATTTTTTTTTTTGTTATCATGAAAAATGTAATATTATGACTGTTTGAAGGACAATGGTAGAAGGTGAGTATGATTCACTAGGCAGAAAATTGGGAGTGATTTCAGACACAGCTTTTGTGTTTATCCTCTAGTGTAAAGCAGAGGACATTAGCATGCAGCAGGAGGCGAGACCTTCTGAGAGCCACTTGGAAAATTTTAAGAGCGCTGTACTGAAGAGAGCTCAGTGCAGTTTGACAGCAGTGCACAAACAGAGAGGGGGAAAGGTAGGGGAATGATGAGGGCAGCGAAAGCTAAAATATCATCAGAGCACAATCTGGGTGTGTTTGTGGAGAACAAAGGTAGCCACTTATTGCCTTTGATCCGCTGAGTGTTTCTCTCTTCAACATAATATGACAAAGTGAGTGGCTCATTTGCAAGTCAAGGCAAAGACAAACCGATATCTCAGCTGAAACTCTCACTGTGCTTAATTCGGTGTGAAATTGCAGTCGTGCTGACACATACACACGGAGAATCACATGTCCATGTCTGTGTCTAAGTCATGCGGCCACAAGTAGTGGTTGAGTGAATTTATTGTTCATGATTAGCAGCAGAGAGAGCTCATACGTGGCTTTGCTTATTTTGTTCTTTCCTGGAGCAAGTGAGCGCAGTTAATTGTTTCACTTACATTTTGTACGTGTTCTGTATGAATGCTCAAATAGCACTACAAAGAGATATATGTTGAGCTATGTGTTGAGTCTATAAACAAGAAGTTATGGCAGCTGATAAAACCCCTTGTGCTCTGTTCTCCCCTCCATTAGTCGGGAGCATTCAAGCGAAACTTCAGCTCGCCGATGCTCGTCAATGACCAGTTGGCTGTCGTCAAGGAAGTTCAGCCAAGCCAAGGTGAGCGCAGTCCGAGTGTGCATGTGGTTGTATGAGTGAATCCGCTGGTTGGGTTTGCTTGTGTCCCTGTGCTTTTGTTTCGTGACGTTGCTCTTGTCCAGCCTTTTGGGTTTTACTTTTCGATTTTTCTATTTTATTTTATTTTTTGCACTTTTGCTTGTAATGTAATAAAAAACAGAAATGTCTTCACCTCACCTGGCAACGGACGAATGTGAAGTGGAAAAAGATAAAGAGAAGGAGACAAATTCAGTTTCACTTGGAGGTGATGGACCGTCTCTACGCTGAAAGTATGTGAATAAATATTTATAAGTTCTAATGTTTATGTTTTTATATCTCTGTTTATGAGTTGTGCTGTATATCCTTGGACTGGTGAAGAGGATTAATTTATTAGATAGGCACCACAGTTGCATGTTTAAAAATTCATAAACATTGAAATGCTGCCCACTTTTTTGATTGATAGTAACCCCAAATTCACAAACATCCACCTTATTTCATTCAGCAAATGCTGGGAATAAATTTCAAAGAAAATTATATTTTTAATCAGTTTTCAGGTCAGTGTTTGTCCGCTCAAGGCCAAATCATAGTGGTACGAGTTGCTTTTACAACCACTGGACCAAAGTGCTTAAAATTTGTTCTTCCTTTTATTGTCACCGCTGAAATGCAGCTTCATTTTTCTTTGTCATACCTTTGGAAGAACACCTTTGAACGTGACACAGTCATCTGCCATAATGCATGACTCACATCAGGGTCGGCGCCCCATGCTGTCACTTGCTTGTAGTACTCATGAGTCAGGGTACAATGAACCTACAACTCCATCATCACCTCGAGCTCAGCACCATGATGCCTGGGACTTTGCCAGGGCTAGCTGAGAGTGCAACCTGCCAAGCTCACAATCACACATTACACAGTGTGCTCATAATTATGCTAACAAAAGGCTTGGTAAAATGTTTACACACATTCATATCAGACAACAGTTTTCATTTTGTATTTACTCACAGACCCCCTTAATTTCCCATCAAGTACCTCCTGGCCACAATTTACTGTTCTCATATTAAACCTCATTTATGAGTCTGCTAGTTGCGGGAACTTAACGGTCTACGTTGCAGTCTTGCAGTGATGATTCATATGTGATGAATGTGAAAAGGATTTCTCTGTTTAAATGTTAAGGTTAAATCTGCCAAAGAGAACCTGATACTGATGATATTCTCGGGTCAGAATGTTATCAGTTAACTGATAATTAACAACATTATAATAAAAACAGACCTGAAGCTACTTTACATAAAAACTCTCCTTCCAGTCTCAAAAGGAACGTTAAGGATCTAAAAAAAACAATTATTTATATGGAGTAGTGGAGTGTAGAGTCTCTAAGCTTGGCTTCCCATCCCATCATTTACTCATCTGCAATTAACTTCTCTCTGCAGAAATACCTCCTTCAGTCAGTGTAATGAGCTTTATCGACTCTAAATACCTGACTTAATCATACTAAATAACACATTGCTGCACAATTTCTTCTGTATACAGAAGAAATGACTTTAGTATGAAACTACAGGTGATTTCAACTTCATCCTGCACAGGCACACGCACACTGAGACACATCTGGCCCTGCAGCAAAATCCCTCTACCCTCCTTCTGTTGAGCTGGATGGGGAAAGAGCTGAAAAATCTAATTCCCAACTTCAGAAATAGTGTGATAGCACCCAAGCACTGCTGTCTACATGAAATGCAGCAGCGAAGACTTTCAGAAGATTTCCATATTTTACATTTCGTCTCTTATTCCCTTTCTACTCTTTCCACAGTTTCACATCTGTTAAAGCTATTAAACTAAGACACATCTCTTGCCACTAAGTTAAATAAATCAAAGCATGTTAATTCATTGGAATGTCTTCATTTTCTTTTGAATTTTTGGCTGCTGTCCTCGCAGATCTAAAGTAGGCCACTTTGGTTCAGGACTGACTGTGTTACAGCAGTTATATTTAAACCCCTTGGTTCCTCCAGATTGGCACAGGCACAATAGTCATGATGTACAGTGTAATCTCAGCGTGTAGCCCTGATTGTAGTGTGTCCGAAGTCTTTTAGTGAATAATTTACGTGTCTGTGTGTGGTTTCAGAGGCACCGCGGATGCGAGTAGACCCTGTGTATGCCGCCTTGCGCTACGGGACGTCCTTGGCACAGATGAGTCGCTCCAGTTTTGGCAGTTTGTCAGAATCACCAACGCGCAGCTTGGTATGACATCATAGGCCTGTGGGTGGGGGTAGAGGACAGTTCAGTCCCATGTGTTTGACACAATAAACAACACTGGTCCGTTAGCCAACTTACTTATTATATTAAGAGAACTGACAGTGACATTCCCTTGTTAAGCCATATTTTGTAAAGGGTGCATATGTTTTTTTTATTGAATTATTAAGAGTTAATACATTTAAGAATGCTTTAGATTCAGATTTATTAGGTATTATCAGAACAGCCATTAAATTGGAAGAAAATCTTTAACATAACAATATTCTTGTCTTCTTAGCTACCTTTTTTAGTCATAATATAAACATGGAGACTGATTCAAAAAGCTCTCCGAATCCTCTGAAAAACAGCTGCAAGCCATCTAAATCAAACTTGTAAACCCTGAATAAATGTTGCGATATCAGAAAGTAACAGTTCAGCTACAAATATTTGAGACTGATCTGTGTACAGCTTATAAGCAGCAAATATGAAGCAACAGCCAAGAGATGTTTACTGCTGCTCAACATTGGACCAAACACCTCGCCTCACCAAAATGTTGCAAAATGTTGTCTGTTTATACACGTTTGAGACTGATAGAAAGCTTCTCATCTAACTTCTCCACTGAAAAGAATGTGCATGCTTGCTAAAATGTAAAATGTTCACATTTTGTGAACCGCAGGTATCTCTGAAACCTGTTGAATACATGAACTTCCAGCATACTGACTGACAACAAGGTCACCCACTATCAAATGCATCCTCTCTGGCCTCCTGGTGCTGATATTTTATTGCTTCCTCTCTATGTTCTTATTTGAGGGGGAGGGAGGAGAGGAGAGGCAACAGAGACAGTCCAGCATGGAGGAAGAATTTACTCAGGAGACAGGGGGTAAAGACGTCTCTGTGTCTGTGCCTTGATGTATGTGGATATGCACATGCGCTGCATGCCCTTGCCTATGTGTGTCTATGCAGATGTTGTGTCGCGCATAACTTTCTGTGCGTGAGAGAGAATTACTGTGGCTGCTTGTAAAAAACAAAAACAAAAACAATAAAACGAGTGCTTATGTGTGTGATTAGAGACTTTTAAGACATTTTCTCGCTGATTCCAGATGATCCTATCCCCGAGCCAGAGATCGAAAAGGAGGTAGACGAGAGCAGCGAACAAACTCAGACTGCAGAGGAGAAGGTACCGCTCTGTTTAATCCACCTGTACATACTTTCATCCCTTGTTGCTCTATTCCTCAAGCGTGTATTTCTGTCTCACTGCCTCCCCTTCCTGCATCTCCCTGTAACCAGGTGCCCAAGCGCATTGAAGTCCACTCTATCCACACCTATGTAGCGCTCTACAAGTTTCTGCCTCAGGAACCAAATGACCTGGAACTACAGTGAGTAAAAGCAAAACCTGACTATGTGCAAGGATTTTTATAGCTATATGCGTGTGCATGTCCAGGAGTGCTTGTGTGCAATTGCTTTTTTTAGCATTGCGTGTGCAAATATGGTCGGTTTTTGTTCGTGTTTTGCCCCGGCTGTTGTTCCTGCAGGATGAAAATGTCCCCACCATCTGCAAAGGACGGTGCCAGGGCGCCCTTAAGGACGACTAATTATAAACTCAAAGCCCATCACTGTCCCCACGCAGAACTAGTGACTGAGCTGTGTTCCCAGCAGGGAAGGGGATAAAGACACTGAACAACTGAGAGATGAAAGGGAGGACATGCATGAGAGGAAATGGCATAGAGCGGAAGATTATCAGAGAGAGAAAGAGAGAAAACAGATGGAGAAAGCAGAGCGCTGTTGTCAAAGTTAAAGCCCAAATACAAGAAAGTAAGATCAGACCATTGTGGATGGCAGAAGTCAAAACATGTACCATATTCCAGACAGGTCGATTTTAACAAACCAGTACATGGATATGAATTCTGCAAAAATTATTATCAGAAATTTGATAGTTTAATCACCTAAAAAAAGATAATTTTTATGTGGGCAGAATCTCAGTTATCTAATCAGTGTGTATTATATTTGTAGTGATGATGAGTATAGGTGGTTTGACTATAATGGCTCACAAACACACAGCTTACATGAGAATGAGTGGGTTTGGGGGGATTTACATTTATTTGGATTTGATTTGTAAGGACTGACAACCTGTCCATGATGTACCCCGCCACTTTCCCACTTTCAGCCAGGATGTGCTCCACCCCAGCTGGTTTCAACCATTTTAGGATAAGTGGTTAAGACAGATGAAGTCAGACAGTAGTCTCCACGGATTATGATGTTTACAGATGACATTGTGATCTGTAGTAAGAGTAGGGAGGAGGAGAAAGACAGAGGTAGAGAGGTAGAGGTATGATCCGGAGATAAGGAAGACAGAATATCTGTGTGAATTAGAGGGAAGTAGTGAAGGTGGATGAGTTTAAATACCTAGAGTTAACCATCCAAAGTCATGGACAGTGGACAAGAGAGGTGAAAAAGAGAGTTCAAGAAGCGGGAGTGGGTGTAGACAAGTGTCAGGAGGGATTTGTGACAGACAGATAGCAGGAAGAGTGAACCTGTTGTGATGTATAGTTTTGAGAGAGAGAGAAAAAAAAGCTGTAGGTGGCAAAGTTGAAGATAACATTTTTGTTTGGACTGAATGGAGGGAAAATTATCAGAGTATATCAGAGGGAACACTCAGGTTGAGCAGTTTGGAGACAAGGTTGAGAGGGTTTGAACAGAGAAGAAAAACAGCATATTGGTTATATTGGACCAAGGATTTTGAATATGGAGCTGTCAGGCACGAGGGAAAGAGGAAGACTAAAGAGAAGGTTTATGGTTGTAGTGATGGAGAGATGGAGGCAGATGACCCGCTGTGGCATCTTCTCAAGGGAGAGGTTGAAAGAAAATGAAAAGATGGACAGAAATGGATGGAATTTAGATAACATTTGTACTTATTACAATGATAATACATATGTAGTGGCTTGCGTTTCATCTCTGAGTAGCTTTTTTCATAGATTTCTTTGAGACTGAATAGCAGCTAATCTCACCACTAGGCATTGTGAGGATTTTTACAAAGAAACCTATCTGCTCTTTCTGATGCCCTCCATATTGTCAGGAAATATTGTACATGTAAAATATAGTATTTAAAAATTGAAATAGCAACAGTAAAGGTATAAAAATACTAGCATTGTTAAGTTAGAACCACTATCCACTATCTATTACTACCAGGAAACTGCTAAAGTTGTCTAATTCTGCTGTTAGAAATATACAATATAGATATAAATGCTTAGTTAGATACACAATATAGGGCACGAAAACCTTTATAAAAGATGCATTTAAATATTTAACTGCGCTCCTTTGAGACGCTGCATGAGCAGAATTGTACCAGTCACCTAAGAAATATGACTCACATGGTAGTGTGTGTGTGTGTGT